GTTAAGCTTTGTGTCATAATCCTGTCGGAAACTGGAGTTTTGTTTTCCTTTTTTCCTTTTTTCTTCTTTTTCTTTGTTTTCCTTTTTTCCGTGAAGCAAAACCAATGTTGACATGGATATAGATAAGATGTGTTGACTATAAATATATATCCAAATCGAAACAGTGGTTGATTGAAATCAATCTCTCGAAAACGTAAAAATAAACTGATTAATCTCTGAATCGTCCATGTCCATGTCGATGTCGAAGTCGAATTCCGTCGCCGACGAAAAGCCACAGCATGCGAAGAGATTGAAGCCGCTGTTAACGGAAGCTCCGTGTTCGCTGCCGATTGAGATTGCTCTGAGTTGCTTGGCCCGCGTCTCAAAACAGGACCACGGTTCCTTGTCTCTGGTGTCCAAGTGGCACCGTCGTCAATTGATTTCGCCAGAATTGTACGAGTTCCGATCCCGATTGGGCTGCACCGAAAACATCATCTATCTATGCTTAGTGATCCCGCCGGAGCCAAATCCACGCTGGTTCGCCCTCTTCCCAAAAGCCCTAGATCGTCCGCGTCGGCTGGTCCAAGTCCGGTCAACCTTGTATCAGCCTCCGGAAGTATCCTCCGTGGTGGCCCATGGTTTCGGGATCTACGTCATCGGTGGGAGGAGGATCAGCGGGAGAACTTCCCCATCGTCAAGTGTCTATTTCCTGGACTGCCGATCTCACACGTGGGCCACTCTCCCTTTCATGCGTGTGCCTCGAGAATCCGCTGCGGCGGGCGTGATCGACGGGAAGATTTACGTCCTGGGAGGGAGCAAGGGCGACCCGAATCCGGGAGAGGTATTCGACCCGAAGACGCAGACATGGGATGCCCTGCCGCTGCCCGAGCCCGTGTTGCTGCCCGTTCAGGATAATCTAATGTACGAAAGCGGTGTGGTGGAGGAGAAGATCTTCGCTGAGAATGAGTTTGGGACAGCTTTCTTCTACAAAAGTGAAGAAGGCAGATGGAAAAGAGGAAATAAAAATATCGCGGCGGATAAAAGGGGTTGGCATGCGATAGACAAGGTCATGTACTGTTGTGTATATGGTGGGAGATACTGTGGTGTGAGGCAAGTGAATTGGAGACCGCAGAGGTGACAGAGTGGAGAGAGGTGATGGGCTTGGAGGCTCTAAGGGACACTCTCTCTGCCTCCAAACTTGTCAGCTATGGTGGTTGTATGTCGGATCACTGGGACTCATACAAAGGTGCTATTATGTTGGATCACTCGGACTCTTACAGACGGCACGCCGGTGCGCCCACCCAAGAGGAAGAAGAACTCGCTTATCTATTTCCAGGCCACAAACTGAGCAACTCTGGTCCCAACATGTTGCTCTTCTGGGACGTGCTTGCTCCTCATAAACTGGACATTTGGTGTGCCGAGATCTCTTTGGAGAGACGCAAAGAAAGTGGCGAGATTTGGGGCACCGTTGAGTGGTCAGAAGCTGTCATGACACGCAATCCCCCTCCTCCACATCACCTTCACTGTAAACTTTTGTATTCCGTCTCTCTCAACCTCTGAATACATAAACTCTATATATTGCACTAGGTAGTTGCAGAGCACAATGAATATACTGAATCCTGCGAGGTGAAAGCTTCCGTTCCTAGTTGAGACGAGGCAAAAGATTCATTTGCTTAAGGTGAATTATTATTTGTACCATATCTATCTTTCATGGTTCGTCTCTAGATGTTGTTTACTTATGCTTTGACTTTTGTTTGTATCATGTTAGATTTCGATCCGTCAGCAAATGAAGAATACTATTGTTCTTCGCCATAATGTGGTGAAGCTGATTAGGAGAAGAAATATGCCGACAAATTATTTTGAAAGAAATAATTAATGTTTGTTTAGGGCATATTGCTCCGTCAACTAATGTTCAGTGGAGAATGAGTGGTGCAACTTGAGCACTTCATAGATCATACCCATATATGCATGTTTTCTCTTACAGCTTGGATATTATAAATCACAAGCAAAGCGAGGTTGTCATGAACCTAGTCATCATCTATGTGACTATGTGTCGGTTTGACAATTTTCAACTTTTATTTTTTTCCCCCTCTTTCTGCATATACTGATTTTAACAGGAAAAACAAAACAAAACTATACATTAGCGTACGAGTATCCGTTATTGCTCCATCACGAAAGGTCGACCGCTAATGTTAATGTAGCTAGGGATTTGTATTAGAACGTTGAATCCGCCGGTAAATTGAACAAAGTTTCATGATATTTTAAAATATCTAATAATCAGTACGTCGAAGTTAGTGCGACCTGAATTGATCGACATTTAATAAGTTTTGCGATTTAGATTTAGATTTTGATACAGATCATTCGAATATGTGTAACAAATCAGAATATTATGGTTTTGTTGGATTGGTGTGTTAAAAAATCCGAAATATTATATTCTCATACATTTTAATGTTTTTTAATGGACACCGCCATGCGTTTTTCTTCAATCCTACACAAAATAAGCTTTGAGAAGTTATCTAAGTAATAATCAAATTTGTCTGATAGAGACGTCTTCTAAAGACGTTTTGAGTTAAACGTATATCTATTTACAGATTTCTTATGGTCTAAAATCAAAAGAAGAAATAGATGAAACACAGTAACATAGACTATAATCTTCGAGATGAATTCTGCTAAAATGGAAATAGCCCGAGATAGCAATTCAGGCTTATCAACGGTGACGAACAACTCATATATGGTCTCATTCGCTCTAGTCATCGCGTTTTGACAAGGCCCAAACTCTGCTTCGATGCTCTGTTAAGAACTTGACAATATCATGATTTGTATATCTCATTTTAGCACTAAATGCAAGATGCTCTACAATATGAGCAACTCCACGCTGATCCTCCTTTTCCAAAACGCAACTGCCAATTAATCAAAAGGTGTGTCAGCGATAGATTGTTGATTTTCATTCAAAAAACAAGAAATATATAGAACGAACATAGCCCAGTTTTGGTACAATGAGATATAGATATATTCATGCGTTTCCTAAACAGTCACCAGAAGAATCATTAATCTTTAACATAAATAAAAATCGCAATATAAAAACTTATTGGGCTGCGCATCAGAATTCTGACCCAAAATTTGATTGGAAGTTAAACAATTCTAAGCAGAACTTAGCAAGAGAAGAATGGAGAGAGAGAGAGTTGAATCGACGATAGTAAGAACAATGGATGCAACAAAGAGTAAAGCCATATGGTCTAACATAAAGTAAAGCCATATGGTCTAACATAAAGTAAAGCCATAATAAACAAGAATCGAAACTGTGTATTTTATCGTATGGTGGGAGATACAAAAGTCTTAATTCTTAAACACAATTTTTAACAATCCCATATAAAGGGTGGATAAGCTATGAAATTTGGGTGTGATCTTGATTGTTTCTTCTAGGTAAACTTATAGTTGCATTTCAAAACTATACCACAAGATTTTCAGAATCTCCAAACATTTTTATACAGTTGTCGAAATTGACTCACAAAGTGGCAGACGGCTTGGTGAATCACATTGTTAAATAATAACAACCATGTCAAAGAAACTCCATTTATATGTAAAAATGTGACCAACAACCTTTTTTTTTTGTTTATAGACGATTACAAAGAAAACCAAAAAAGAACAAAGTTTGAAAGTTTAATGGTTTGAAAATTCAATAAGACAAAAATATACTCATATAATATAATATTATTATTTATTTTTCAAATATAAACCCTTTAAAAACCAAGGATGGAAGATGGTTTTTTAGTTGCCCATAATCCATATTGTCAAAAGACTCAAAACCGGTCGAGAGGCTTGTGCAATCAGAACCGGTCAAGTTTTATTCTAATCCGGTTTTAGTTAATTAGTTTTAAATCCTTTAACTCCCTTTATCTGTCTCCCCCTTTACCAAGATTAAAAAGCAAGGCCAAAAACCAATCTGGAACACAAGTTATAATGCTCGAGAATTACATTCTCTGAAGAATCACGTTCTCTGAAGATCACTTCCCTTTTCTCTCAGGTAAACAAGTTTCGGATCATGCAATACATTACTCTCAATCGAATTTGTTTCCTCCTTCTGATCGACTCCTGTGTGTGTCGTAGATTTAAGAAAATTGTCTGAACAAAAAAATCAAAACTTTATAATGTTTGATTTCTAAAAATCAAGTCTTTGTGATTGTTGAATTGCACAACTTTGAAGTCTCTTGCTTTTCCTCGTCTCTAGATTCTCCATTAGAAAGCGAATATGGAAGAAGGTGATCGAGGACTGATTAAAAGAGTTGCATTTGTCCTGATCGATGGTTTGGGAGACGTGTCAATACCGAAATTAGGCAACAAAACTCCTCTACAAGCAGCGAACATACCTAATCTCGACGCAATCGCATCAGCTGGAATCAATGGTCTAATGGATCCGGTGGAAGTTGGATTGGGATGTGGTAGCGACACGGCTCATCTCTCTCTGATGGGTTATGACCCGAGAGTGTATTACAGAGGACGTGGTGCCTTTGAGTCCATGGGTGCCGGATTAGCTATGTCACCAGGTGATATAGCTTTCAAGGTGTGTGTGTTTTGTGTGGTGGTTTAGTCTTCTTCATCTTCATTTCATCTTCTCTTGTGTAGTTAATGGTTCGACTTTATCATGCAGTCTAATTTTGCGACATTGGATGAGAAATCTGGAATTGTTGTGAGTCGGAGAGCTGATAGGCATTTCGAAGAAGAAGGGCCTATTCTTTGTGCAGCTCTTGATGGCATGAAGCTCCCATCTTTCCCTGAGTATGAAGTGAGAGTCAGGTGCAAAAGATGTTCTTTATAAAGTCTTTATGATTTTGGTTTTGCGTTTTGGCTAAAGGAGGAATTTTTTTGGTTTCTACAGATATGCAACAGAGCACAGATGTGGAGTGGTTGTAAAAGGGCCAAGACTTAGTGGGAATATATCTGGAACAGACCCTTTGAAAGATAACCGTTTGCTTCTTGAAGCTAAACCTTTGGATGAGTCAGAAGAAGCCAAGCACACAGCTAAAGTCGTTAACGAATTATCCAAGGAGATATCTCGCATTCTTGTTTCTCACCCGGTTAATGCAAAGAGACTTGCACAGGGCAAGAATATCGCCAATCTTGTTCTTCTACGAGGCTGTGGTATTCGAATTGAGGTCTGTGTGTTCACTACTTTACTGTGTATCTTACAAATGCTTTTGATGAATCTAACTGTTATGGCTTTTGGTGTATAAAAGGTTCCTCCTTTTCAAGAGAAGCATGGCTTGTGGCCTTGTATGGTAGCACCAACAAAGATTATAGCTGGACTTGGTATGTCTCTCGGTATTGACATTCTTGAAGCTCCAGGAGCCACTGGAGATTATCGGACGCTTCTCACATCGAAAGCAGTTGCAATAGCCAATGCTCTCTCAGCTCCTTTGAATCCCACCCCAAATGTCTTTGTACCGGGAGAGGACGGACATAAACCGGGAAGGTCTGATGGGTATGATTTCGGGTTCCTTCACATAAAGGTGAGAACTTTTTCTCTGCTTCTCAACACAAAACTTGAAAATGGGATATTCTGAAATGTAGATGGTTTTTTACTTTCAGGCTATAGATGATGCTGGTCATGACAAAGCGACGATGTTCAAAGTTAAAGGCTTGGAAGCTGTGGATAAGGCGATACGTCAGCTCGCTAAGCTTCTATGGATAGCTGAGTCTTCTACAAATTATCAGTACTTCTTGTGTGTGACTGGTGATCATTCCACTCCAGTTGAGTATGGAGACCACAGCTTCGAGCCTGTCCCATTCACAATGTGCCGGTTAAGAGAGTTTGTGAGCGCGGTTGGAGGAGAATCAGCTCTGTTAGAGACGTCTTTGGACCCTTTTCCACTTCCAACGGTTGTGGAATCCGGTGAAGATGTCACCGACGATGGTGGGAGGAAGAAAGCTCCTGCGGCGATTGGTGGAGATTCAGTTGCAGAGCTGAATGAGATCGCAGCAGCAAGAGGATGTCTTGGCCGTTTCCATGGCGGTGAAATGATGGGAGTCATCACCAAGTTCCTTAAGCTTGATGTATGAATTTGGTAAATTTTACTCTCTTTTTTTTTTTTTTTTTTTTTTTTTTTTTTTTGTCTTTTGAGAATTTGGGATATTGGAAGTGTAATAAAATCATCAAACTTCAACAGTTTAGGTTTATTAGATTGTTTTTCTCCTTCAACCGCAATGGGATTGATAAATCTAATTCATAATCACAATGCATAAATTAGTGTAAGATTCACGAGTGTTATGAAAGTTTCCGAAGAGGTTAATAAGAGAGTTGTTAAGCTTCGCATACACACTACCAAAAGCCTTAATACAAACACATACACATAAAAAATTACTATAACATGTAACAACAAATCTACTTTTCATCAGAACATATTGATGAACCATGTCTTATCTCTTCTGGAAGTTAAGAGTCTTAACCGAGAAAGCATAGATAAAGACAATTAGCAAAGTGAAAGAGACGAGGACTACTGAGACAAGCCACAAGTGGTCGTATTCATAACCATAATAACTCTTCATGAACTCCAAAACCGTCTCACCCGTATCAAGCTTCGTCTCTACATCTCCGTATTGAGATATCGTCAGTCCGTACAAACCCCACCACCCTGGATTCACGTACGTGAACCATCTCAAATACGACGGCATTCTCTGCAAAAACATCCATTTTAACTTGTGAGCATTCTTCTTAATTAGAAAAAATTAGAAAGATCTATATAACGAGGCATTTAGTTACTTACGGGAGCAGGAATGGTGAATCCTGAAAAGACGTTAAACGCCGAGTATATGATACCATTGAGTATAGCTGCGGTTTCTTGATTAGGACTCACGGAGATGAGCATGATACCGGTGTAGATATAGTAGAGGATGGTAATGAATGTAAAGAATGTGTAGTACAAAAATCTGGAAGCAGTCCATTCGTATCCAATCATCCCATAGACGATAAGTGAATAGATGCAAGCTTGAGCCACTACATATGGAATCTCGATTACCACCTTGCAAAAAGGTTTTGAGTTCGTGTTTAGAAACCAAAACCAAACCTCATGGTACATAGAAATGAAAAAAGTGGGAGTGTGAATAAAATACCTGTGAAAACGCATAAGGTAAAGCCGAGTACATTCCAGCGACGGTCTCTCGGTAAAAGACTGTGCGTTCGGCGATTGCGACAGGACGCACAGTAGCCGCGCTTTGTGAGCCTAAGAAGCCAATAACTGTTGCCATGGCGCCTACGCTGTTGAAAATATCTTGTCTTGTTTCTTTTCTTTTGCCGAGGCTCCAAAAGATGGCACCGTACATGAGTCCAACCGCAGCCGCGAAACAAAGACGCACAGTGTTGTAAGGAACGTTTCTCCAGTATGATTTGTTTAGCTTCCACAGGCAAGCTTGGAACTGAGTGAGGTAGGATTGTGAATACTTTGTTGAGAAATGTATGTCTTTTGCATGAGGAGGAACCTTGTTTAACTCATCTATTAGATCTTTGTTTCTCCTAAATCCACACAAGAAAAACATTTGTGAGATTTATGTAACTTTGTTAGACTAATGTTTCTATGCATGCTTACATATATAACTCGACTTACTTGTAGAGGTTTGAGTTTTTGTAAACTTGAGCAAATCTAACACCAAGAGCATCTTCTTGTGCCCTTGTTGTCACTTCAAGAGCCCATGTTGCTGGATTGTAACCTTCTTTGATTTTTCCTACTCCTTTAATTCCCTAAAAGAAACACATCTTGTTCAGTTATTGTGAGGAATGAAACAGAGCATTGAGCAGATAATTCACTTCTTCTTCTTCTTCTTCTTTTCTCTTACCTCAAAGTATTCAATTAGTTGTGAGGAATGGTGGCCAATTGGGCCGACATAGATCTCTTCCCCTCCTCTCGTCAACAAGAAAAGCTAACAAAACAAAACATAGGTGTATAGCTTATGGTGCAAGTAATACTAATTACATTACATAAAGATGAGTAATGATGAGTTACCTCATCAAATGATTCAAAGATATCGATACTCGGCTGGTGAATGGTGCACACAACAGTTCGTCCAGTGTCAACAGTGTTTCTAACAGTCCTCATGACAATCGCAGCAGCTCTTGCATCCAAGCCAGATGTTGGCTCATCCATGAAAAGTATAGAAGGATTTGCCACAAGCTCGACCGCGATTGTCATTCTCTTTCTTTGCTCCGTCGAAAGCCCACTAACCCCCACGTATCCAACCAACATATCTTTCAATGGCTCTAACTCAATCAATTCCATCACCTCTTCAATAAAAAGCTGCACATTTCCAACGTTAGTTACATGGTTTCTTGAATCTTGTATTGATCATCATATATAGACTAATAAGAAGCACAAACCTCTCGAGTTTTGTCGTCGATGTTAGGTGGTAACCTCAACCATGCAGAGTAAAGAAGTGACTCGTAGACTGTTAAAAGAGGGGAGTGGATGTCATTTTGTTCACAATATCCCGAAACACGAGCGAAGCTGTCTTGGTTTTTAGGAAATCCAGAGACGTTGATCTCTCCTTGAATGTAACCAGTGTTCTTGCGTCCGGCTAAAACATCCATCAATGTTGTCTTTCCTGCTCCACTCATGCCCATTAGTGCAGTAAGAACATTCGGCCGAAACGCACCACTTACTTCATTCAACAGTACTAGTTTATCGTCTTTTACGCCCTTATCTTTCATCGCCTACAAAAGTTTTATATCTACTTTAGTATCTCTCCCAAACACAAACTATTCTTATTGATAATGTTATTTCAGTTAATTATTACATATACCTTTGGAGTATCAACTGAATATGTGATGTTCTTGAACGTGATGTATAGTGGCTTGAAAGGTATACGCATTTTTTTGTCGCTGCTAGTTCTCCTTGTCATCTCTCCTATACAAATTCAAGCCATGTTTGACAGTTTGAGATCATAAGTATTTTCAAAGGAGATGAAAATTAATGAATGATATTCTAGCCAGGCCTTACTGTTAAAGATTGGTTTTGTTGTGGTTCTTGAATCGTCTCTGCCGGTTAGCATATTGTTGCTATCTTCATGTTCTTCCGGTAAAACCGCAGTCTTTGATACTCCATATTCTACAAGAGTAAAAAACATTTTGTTAAAGTTATATAATTTCATAGATGCATAAAGAGGAAGTGATGGAGTGACACTCACGTTTAAGATAAGCAAGAGACAGAGATGTAATAATGTTGGACAAGACTGTGGATAATATCAACGCTAAAATTCCAATCCAATACCAGTAAGTCTCTACAAAAAATCCTCGCGATTTCAAAACCGCTACTCCAAGACCCTGGAAAATTGTATACATTGTACTTAGTAAAAAAGTTTAGTTACCACAAAATGGTAAAAAAAAAAGGGTTCCAAGAAAATTTACATCTTTCCAAGAATTGCTTCGGAATTCGTTAACCGAGATAGCTGTTGTAATATACATCATTGGAGATGTCCAATAAGCCCAGGTCAACCATTCGTGTACTTGTTCTGTGTGGTTACACAATTCATCATTACTAATTAGTTAATCGATCATACGTAGAGAAATTAACAATAACCAAGAATGTCAAATAAACTTACTTCGAGACAACACATATCCACTGAATGTCATGAGCCACATCACTGCAAGACATCCCACTGTGTTTGAAACCACATGATTCCGAGTCACTGCACCGATACACCGGAAAAACCCATACGACATTTGTCCGCACAATGCTAGAACCAAGTAATGTTTAAGGATCCTGCAGTAAGAAAAAAAACAAAAACAATTACACACATATCTTTAATTAATAATAAACATACCTACGAAATGTGGAGATAAACTTACGATGTGATGGTTGGATCATATCCAATAAAGAAATAAGTTGTTAAAACCACAACGAAGACTTCTACGAAGGAAATAGGGAAGTTGATGATTGAGGCTGGTAAAGAGAAAGCCCATGACGGGTAAAAGCTAAAACGTCGTTGCTTGTAGAACACGGGAAGCTTATCAATCGTCATCGGAAGTTCAAAAAACCCAGAGAACACAACCATCTGCACTTCCAAGTATATAGCTCCCATGTAGATGATTCCATCTACTACTGTGCTGTGATATTGCCTTTGTGACGAAAACACAATCGTGATTAAAACCGCATTGAGAAATAGCTGAAATGACTTAAGAGCGAATATTCTAAAGTTTCTTCTCATTAGAATGGATTCTCGTACTAAGCAGGCCGTTAGTAGCTCCAACTTCTTAGCTCCATATTGAGTCTTTGTCAAGGCTGCTCTGTGATTTTTCGATCGATCAAATGGGGTCGCGAGCTGAGACCTCATAGCGCTCCCTAAATGGTTCATTTTGAAGCCTTCCTCGAATTGTTTCGCCGTTACATAATGGTATGGCAGATCTGGATTAGTCCAGTATTGTTCTTGATCTTTTCTTGATAAAATCTGATTGACAAAATGTAATCTTGATCAGTACATTACAAAAAGTAATTAATGTGTGTAATGTTATATGAAGAACTCACTTCTTGCAAGTAATCAGCAATCCCTTTTCTTTCAGGACATTTAAACCCCATAGATTCAAATAACTCGAGGACGTTTTCGCGAGGGCCTTGGTAAATGATTCGGCCTTCTCCAAGAATGATGACATCGTCAAAGAGCTCAAATGTCTCTGGAGGAGGCTGGAGAAGAGAGATAAGAGCGGTTTTATCGAAAACATGGACCATTTGCTTGATGCACTTGATAATCTGATACGTTGTGGAGCTATCTAAACCATCCGATATGTTGTCCATGAAGAAAGCTCCGACTGGTCCGACCAACATCTCCCCTACACACAAAAACACCATATCAAACCAATTAAAAACACATTTTAATTTCAACCAAATTAAATTCTATTAGGATATCGACACTAATCAGTACCTGTCGTCACACGTTTCTTTTGCCCACCAGAGATGCCTCTTTCCATAGCATCTCCAACTATCGTATCAGCACATATCTCAAGTCCTAATACCTTCAAAACGTAATCTGTAACCACATTCTCCTTGTGTCCTTTCATAACCGACGCCTGTAAAGAAAATCAAAATTATAAGCCCTCCTCATTGAACTTTTCTACCTAATGATCTCTCTTGGTACCTTCATTAGTGCATCGAGGTAAGGATCTGGCTTGATCTCCAAGTCTTTTTCCCTTCTTAGTAACTCCGAAAGCATATCTGTGAAACGTTCTCAACCATCAACGTCAATGAACACTTTGGAGAGATACTTACAGAATAAAGAGGGTCAAAATGGTTTTCATACCGTAGCCTGTGCCGACTCCTTGGCATTTTGCAGAAAACGTTAATGTTTCTCGAACGGTTAGCTTCGGCATGTGAACATCGTATTGGCCAATGTAGGCGGCAGTTCTCTCAGGCACAAACTCATGCAGTTCATGCCCATTGTATGTCACTTTCCCTGTACACTAAACCATTCCACAACACAGTTTAATTTAATTATTGCTTCAAATAGTATATTTCATATAATTAAAAAAAAAATATATTCCATATAATTAATCAAAGCACTTTTTTTTTACTGTTTATCAAAGATTGATGTAACTATTTACTTTTAGACCGCTTTCTATCTTTCCAGACAATGCTTTAAGTAGTGTCGACTTTCCCGAGCCCGGTGGTCCCAAAAGTAGAGTCAGCCTGTTGTAAGAAGAAAAGAACCAAAACAATTTATGCATTGTTGTTAACTAAAGGTTGTAATTGGTGGCGTGACATAAAGACATATTAATGCGGTGCAGTGATACCACTCTTTTATGAGACACACAACTATTTCGGAGTAGTTAATTTGGTAAATGCCAAAAAAAATTGTAGAGAAAATAAGTAAATATCTATACGTAAAAACAAACTAAGTTGTTCATGAAAAAAAACAAAAGTAATAATGATAAATAAGTACATGATACCAAAACTAATTTCTCAAGGTAAAATCGTACAACATCGTCCAAAAATTAAATAAATAAAACGGTCAGTCATAATTTTATTTTGTACTTTTTCTTCTTTAATCGTCATGGATTAGTTTGCTATTGGGTGCAAATACTCTTAAATCTTAATACGATATGTATGCTGCATATAAACTCTTATCATAAGATATGTTCGATCACAAAGTCTAAACAGCACAAAAGGACAAATAGCTAGTTAACCAAAAACAAAAAAAAAAACAAAAAAAAGCTAGTTAATAAACCTGCCAGGCTTGATGATTCCGCTAACATCCTTTAGAACCGAGACTCTCTTTTTTCGAACCCGAAGAAGTCCGATTTTAGTTCCAATACCCTATCACAAATTAGACGAATAGGTGAGATCAGTGAAAGGTCACAAAAACAGGCTTTGCAAATGGGAATAAAATTTTACTTTTATAACGCTGACTAATGAGTTCATGACTGTGGGAACAGCTCTTCTGCCCTCATATGCTTCGGCGGTCACGTTCACATCCTCAAATCGGACTTCTATCGTTGGGAGATTCAGAGAGACTCTGTTTTTATTGTGATACAGAAAAAAGACAAGTTTAGAGTTTATCCAATCAAGATTTTAAGAATTTAGCCTATGAAACGTTGATGTTTTCTTTTACCTATCAAAACGATTCTTTAGCCTCCGTAGATACTCCCCATGCCAATCTTCGTCATCGATCGTCATTACTGTTTCAAAAAGCTCTCTTCTCTCCTCGAAGCCCAGATCCTTCATGTCAATCTCCTTAAAACCTCCAGTGATCCCTCTCAGAACGGCCTTCCTCGTCCGATCGTAAGTCGGAAGACGATGTAGCCGCTCGATAGCAGCCCTTTTCATGGCATCGTCTTCCTCTTCTACTTCTTGCTGCTGACGACTACTGCTTCCGTTTATCAAGTTCTCTACCTCTGAGCTCGCTCTGTAATGTGCCATCGCTTCTTCTATCTCTCTCTCTCTCGCAGCTTTTTCTTTTAATATTTTGTTTTTTAGCTCTCAATTCTTTTCTTAGATGTTATAGAAGCCCAACAGTACTTTGATTTGGCTATAATATCTGCACAAATACACACGTATATATATACACACATAGATATATGCAAATGCCAAATTCTTGTTATGAGGGCAATACAATGAATGCCAGATTCTTGAAAAAACTAAAATTAAACAGGTGTGGATTCTGATGACAGGTGTGATATCTAGCTCCATTTAATTATGACCCAATTTATATATCACAGGTTACATCGTTTTCTATGTTTAGACAGTAATGGATAATAACCAGATCTTCAACCAGATTCTATACCTCAACGATATCAAACACTTGTCTACACACTTGCATGCATACAGAGTAAGAAAATATTTATGCTTACTGGCAAATGTGAACAAGGCTTCTTGCAATTACGGAACTTTGGATTTTTCTCTTGCAATAACGGAAATTTGGAGTTTTCTTACTTCTGTCTGGAAAAGAGAGATTTAACGCGTAAATGAATGTTTCTAAAGAATTCTAATTAATGTTTAATAACTAGAAACAAAAATCTACTTATTACAACAATAAATAAATGGAACAATGATAATTTTTGAAAATATAGAAAAAAATCTAGATTTCTATAAAGTAAATATTTTATTTGTAGTAGTAAATGCAATATTTTTATTCTTATTTTGTTATATGAAATTATAATTGAATTGAGAGGTAACAGACACAACATGAAATGCAACAACTAAAATAAACAGAAAGAAATGATACAAAAAAGGATACACTCTAAAAATTGAACACTAGTTGATAACTGGATACGCGCTCTAATTAAGAAAGGGGGATCTCCACGTGTACACCAGAAAAATTAGCTGCCTACAATGATGCCACGTAGTTATCGCATAATCTATTTCATGCGAGATTAGGCCTTGGTTTCCTTCTTACTCTTATGATGTTTGGTTTTAATCTACTCTAATAATAAGTAGTTTCTGTATAGTCTCTATTTTAATTTTGTTTGCTTTGTATGTGTTGTGTTATACCGTTATGCCCCCACGAAGATGAACACATTTCCCGTGTTTCTCACTAAACGTTTGTAAATTATATTGGCACATATAATTTTATCATTACAAGTCGAATAGCTAATTAAAAGTCTTTCATTTATTGATCTTGGCTTTATCTTCCCTTTATTTTCTTCGAAATAAACTTGGCAACAGCAATCTTACTTATAAAAAGACTACAACTGAAAATTGTAAGAGTTTATATAATTAACACAAAACTACTATTCTTAAAGACCAAAGATGATTGGAAATAACGATTTTTAATGACTGGAAATAGAGTCAAGGGAATCTTTTTTAATAATCGAAATAAGTAGATACAAACTATTAAAAAAAACTTTAACCAAGCCAAACCACATTTAACTAAAATTAATTAATACAGTATTAGTATTTTTTTTAGTTATATACTTATATATATGGTTGGAGAAGATTTTCGGTTCTCCTGTCGTAATGTACACAGATGACTTCTGGTACTGACTACAAAATCTGAAATAACGAATAAGGTAAAAGTTTCGTCTTCTCCAAATGAATACTCCCTCTCTTCCTAAATATAAGATGTTTTAATTTTTATTCTTGTTCCACAATATAAGATGTTTTAGAGTTTTAATGTTACTTTTTGTTAATTAATGGCAGTATTTTACAAACTTTAAAAAAAATTACTCCCTCTATTTCATAATATAGGACATTTAAAGTTTTTGCACATAAATTAAGAAGTCATTTAATTTTTGTAATTTTTGAAATAAAATACTCCCTCTGTTTCATAATAAGTGTCGTTTTGACTCTTCAGTTACCCAATGTATCTAGATATATATGAATGTATTAAGACTCAAAACACATCCCTATACATCATTAAATAGTCCAGATTCATTTTGTCAAAACGACACATATTATGAAACGGAGGGAGTATATTTTATCATCAGTTTCAAAATCTTTCAGCCAATGAATAACAAATCTGCAGAATATAAATAATCTAAGATAATAAAAACATATTTAGTTTTACACTAAAATTCTAAACCCTTTTATATTTTGAAACAAAACTAAAATTCTAAAATCCCTTATATTTATATTTTAAAACAGAGGGAGTAGTTATGATTATTTGAATACTTGAATTACTATTGGTTAATATTAACCTAAAAATAGTTAGGTGACAACAAAAATGAAACATTAACTATTTTTTAATATATATAAAATGTTAAAACATCTTACTAACAGAGGGAGTAATAAGTTATGTGGAGAAAGTCGTCAGAGTTCAGTTTCAGGCACAGACCGTTCAGAATTCACCTTTGCCGCTATTAATTGTTAGGAATTATTGGATCGATTGATTGCTTAATTCTTTGAACTTAGACACAGAATTTGATCTCCGAGAATTACCGGCCTCTAACCGGGACCGTCTCGGGTGGGAACCTCTCCCACACTTTATTATGAACAAGCAAAGGGTTTACACAAACGCTCTAAACGCTCTCTTTGTGTAACAGGTGACACCAAAAGAAACACACAACAAAGAAGAAGAAAGATCCAAGAAACTCTCTCTCGAAAAGACATGACTCTAACGTCTTCTACTAGTTTCTTCTCTCCCTATCTCTCTAAACTCTCTTAGCTGTCTGCTTGTATTCTCTCTTTTGGGATGATCTTGAATGATGAGGAGATGCTTCCTTATATAGCCAAACATGTCTCTGGTTTTCCTTTCTTCTTCTTGGAAGATTTCCCTTTTGTTATTGCCTTTTTCTGTTTAGAAACCGTCAACAAAGAAAACAGAAAATATCACATATTTAGACTATTTCTTTTTGGACTTGAATTGGGCCCATTATCTCACATAAATGGTGTTTTCTTTGTGGAGCTGCCTTTTAGGCGTGCACACGGAACACAGTTAAACGGGGTCTAAAGATCGAGAAGGACTTTCCCTCCTAAAAACTTTCCTAAGCCTAAGTATATATTAATAAATTATAAAATATTTATATTATGCTCGGTGATGGGTCTTAATCTGAACACAATAAACAAAGTAAGGGAGGATACTATTACGGATACGGTCAGTCGGTGACCAAATGAATTTGTTTTTGAATTAAAGACCAAGTGAAATTTACATGTGATGAATTATAATTATCAACCACCATAAGAGAAAGGCGTAATATAAAGAATACCTAATTATTAAACCCCACAAATAAAAGCCAATGATATTAAATTGTTATAAAAAAAAACAAAAGCAAAAACTCCCAACATTTCCTACTTAGGGTGCATACAACTTCAACCATCACTGACCTGACCTTACTCTTGTTATAAATAAGGAATACTCTCTCATCGAATCTTTAGAGAAGAAAAACAAACAAAGAAATAAGATGGTGTCTCGAGAAAAAACCGAGTCAGAACCATCTAAATCGAGGAGTAATATAAACGTAATATTTCGGTTCGCAGATTGGATAGATATAATTCTAATGATCCTTGGTACGGTGGGAGCTATTGGAGATGGAATGTCCACGAATGTGTCGTTAGTTTTCGCAAGCAAGATCATGAATAACTTGGGCTACGGTCAACACAATATTCATTCCACTACTTTCAAGGATGAGATTGATAAGGTTAGTCATCTTTTAGTTCAAAAACAGATTTTATTTTACAATCATAACACGAGATTTCTAACATGATTTGCTTTGTAACATCGGGACCAAGAAACAACAAGCGGGTTGGATCGATTTTTTTTATCAAATAAATATTTTTATATTTATTGCTATAAAGAGTTTACATAAACTAGAAATTAGAAATTGAAAATAAACTATGATAATCATTTTAATGGAAAAGCATTTTCTTCCGTTTCATATATAATTAGTGTCTTTTTAGCACTTGATTTTGTTTCACAAAAGTTTGTTTTTGTACTTATAGCAGAAAAATTCTGTTTGTTGGCAATTTTGTTTGTTCAGTGTTCATCCATGTGAGGGTAATAATTTGAAAAATAAAATTATGTAGAGTATTAATAAATTTTATAGTCTAAAATAAACTATAGTATTTTTCAATATATGCGAAACTTTTGTAAAACGACATCTGCAACAAAACGGAGAGAATAAATACCTATTTTAATTTTAATTTTGTTTATAAGAAATTTCTATTAAAAAATAATGCACAAGTGATATGTACTCCCTCCCATTCGAATTAGTTTTGGTAAAACGTATCTGCAATTATTTAGATGTATCTAGATGTGTTTTGTGATCCAGATATATCCAAATAATTGCAGATACAATTTTTCAAAACGACAAGTAATTTGAAACGGAGAGAGTAAGTGAAATGATTCTACTCGATGGCACAATGATCCAACATACAAACCCATTTTAATGCTCGTTTCGGCGATAAAGAAAATGATAATTGAATTATTTTGTGCTCAGATTTCTTACAAAACTCGATCCAAACATTAAGTCGTTAATTTGTTGTAAACAGTGCAGTTTATACTTCGTATACCTGGGATTGGCAGTCTTGGGAGTGGCATTTATGGGTAATGTCAAAATTGTTTCTTAATTGTATTATAAATAGATTTGCATAAATTGATGTTAAAAATGTTTGAACGTTATTTTCTGGTGCAGAGGGGTACTGTTGGAGCAAAACAAGTGAGAGACAAGTTGTAAAGATTCGTCGAACATATCTTGAAGCTGTTCTCCGACAAGAAGTTTCTTTCCTCGAGTCACAAGATGCTTCCATTTCTGAAATCATCCACACCATTTCTACTGATACTTCTCTCATCCAACAACTTCTGAGTGAAAAGGTATCACATTTTGACCAAATGTTTTAATTTATTAGATGGCTGATCTGCGTACGAAAAGAACAAATTATAAATGCCTAAGTTTAAGATTGGGGTTGGTCTATAATACAACCTGAAAAATGTGTAGTTTTAAGATCGGGGTTCATGAATCCTAGATTATGGTTTAGAATTTGGGGTTTAGGAGTTAGATTTAAGGGTTCAATATTAAATTTTATGGTTTTGGGTTTATATTTTAGAGTTTATAGTTTTTTACTTCATGAAAAATGTGTAGTTTTGAAAATAAACACTATAGAAGTGTATTTTTGAAAATTGGCATCTCAAGAGGTGTACTTTTAAGAAATACACCTCTTGAGGTACAAATTTTCAAAACTACACCTATAGTGTGAAAATTTTCAAAAATACAATTTTTCCTAATTTTAATATATATGTTTAGATTCATTAATCCTAGATTAGGGTTTAGATTTTGGGGTTTAGGGTTTAGATTTAAGGGTACAATATTAAATTTTATGGTTTTGGGTTTATATTTTAGAGTTTATAGTTTTTTAATTCATGAAAAATGTGTAGTTTTGAAAATAAACACTATAGAGGTGTATTTTTGAAAATTAGCACCTCAAGAGGTGTAGTTTTGAAATTTCCCCTATTACAAAAGCGGTTTTAAGTTATAAATAGTCAAATAGACCACTCATTTAACTGTAAAACACCACAAATTTAAAGAGTCCAAAATTCATTTATGAACATTTAAAGGGTTAAAGTTGAACGTCGTGCACTTGTTCTTCTTTTAACCCTAAGCCTGATCTAGTGATCTATGAAAATTACTTTGTTTAATAAGGATTTATTAAAAATGTACTCCCTCCGTTTTTTTTTTGATATTTCTAGAATTTTCACACATATTAAGGAAAATCAGATTTTCAATCATTAATGTATTGATTTTTTCAATAAAACAACTTTCTACAATTTTCAACCAATAAACATCTAACAGATATAATCATTGTTTCTTGAAAACTGAAAAAGTGTATTAAAAAAGTAGAAAATTTATCTTTGTGAAACAACAATTAATGTCTAGAAAATTTATTTAAAAAAAACGGAAGGGAGTAATATTTATTGGAAACGTTTCCATCCGATATTTTATCTTCTCGAACAAAAAGATATCATTCTTTGGTAAAAGTAATCCCACTAAAAAAACTATAAAAAAGTAAGTTGTGCTCCTTTGGTGTATTTAATTTATTAATTTCAGTGTCTTTTATCAGAATATTTTATTAACTGCAAGAAATTATAAAACGTGCGGAAATAACAAATTTACCAATTTTTCGTTTTGAGAAAACCCTTTCTTGCTTTATAATATACGTAAATTACAAAAAAAAAAAAATACTATAACAAATTGAATCGTGAGGTACTGAGGTCTATACCATACAAAGTGCATGTATTGGCTAGCTAAATGTTTGGTTTTTTAATGATCTTCCTCCATAGATAATGCATTGATCGTAATTAAAAAAATTGTTTAATACAAAAATAAAAGAATAGCTATTAGATTTTCATGTGTCTAGCCTAAATTAGGCTGCTATTTTTTTTACAACAATTTTTTATTTACATTGGGAAATTTTCAAAATACCCCATTGAATGTTTTGTTTTTTATATTAACCACCAAAATATACTAAAATTTCAAAAAATTATGGTACAAAAAATGATATACAGAGTTTAAAAAAAAACTTAGATTATAGTTTTCTTAGGAGTTACTTCTTCTTCAATTTTGATATTTTTCTTATAAATAGTTTGAATATTTAAGATGTCCTCTATCTTTTCAAATAATTTAGGGTTTATATAGGGGATAGACTTTTTTCATGTTGAAGAAAATTATCATTCTGTTGTTATGTTCTCAGGTGCCCATATTCTTGATGCACACATCAGTTTTCATCACAGGTCTCGTGTTTGCGTCATACTTCTCATGGAGATTAACTGTCGTGGCCCTCCCAACACTTGTCCTTCTTCTAATCCCAGGGTTGATCTATGGCAAATACCTTGTTTACTTATCCAAGAAATCCTTCAAGGAATACGCGAAAGCAAACTCGATCGTGGAACAGGCTCTAAGCTCCATCAAGACCATTCTTTCATTCACGGCCGAGACTCAGATCATCAAGAACTACTCAGAGATCTTGGAAAGACACAGGAAACTTGGGCTAAAGCAAGGTCTCGCCAAAGGTTTAGCCGTGGGAAGCACAGGGATTTCATTCACCATCTGGGCTTTTCTTGCTTGGTACGGTAGCAGATTGGTGATGCACAAACACGAAACCGGTGGAAACATTTACGCTGCCGGGATCTCTTTCGTCTTGAGTGGCCTGTAAGTAGGTGAAGTGCCGTTTTGGAGGATTTTAATATATACTTATTTTTTTATTAATAATAGCACCATGCATGCAAATGATATCATTTTGTTAGCTTTAAGTAGGGTAAAGCAAAATAATTGATTTGATAACACCATTTGAAAAAGTAGGATATGCTTCTTGAAGCAAATAAATAACTCTAAGACAACACTTTTTTTTTTTTATATATTTATTTTTACACTTTTTATATAACATAGAGGAAATAATTGTGAGTTGAATGAATAAATGATGCAGTTCTCTGGGGACGGCGATGACTGAAATAAAATATTTCTCGGAGGCTTCAGTTGTGGCAGCTCGAATATGCTCAAGGATTGATAGAATTCCAGAGATAGATGGTGAGGACACCACGAAAGGATTCATACCAAAAGAGAAGATGAATGGAAGAGTAGAGTTTGAGCATGTATCTTTCACATATCCTTCTCGTCCAAAATCCACAATTCTTAAGGACTTCACTCTCAGAGTCAATGTTGGGAAAACCGTAGCTCTGATGGGAGCTAGTGGAAGTGGTAAATCAACAGTGATCGCGTTGCTGCAACGGTTCTATGATCCAGCTGAAGGGCTTGTGAGGATCGATGGGTTTGACATAAAGACTCTTCAGTTAAAATGGATGAGAGGACATATTGGTGTTGTGAGTCAAGAACATGCTTTGTTTGGGACGTCCATAAAGGAAAATATAATGTTTGGGAAAGATCATGCATCAATGGATGAAGTCATTTCAGCTGCAAAGGCTGCAAATGCTCATAGCTTTATAACACAATTACCAGATGGTTATGATACACAGGTGTGTTTAAAAACCATATAAGATTCAGTAAAGAAAATTACTTAAATATAATCTTAAGCATTACATTGATATATTTACATATTAAAAAAAAAAAAAAAAAAAACAGATAGGTGACCGTGGAGGACTTTTATCGGGAGGTCAGAAGCAAAGGATTGCAATTGCAAGGGCGATTATTAGGAATCCGGTGATTTTACTTTTAGATGAAGCAACAAGTGCACTAGATGGAGAATCTGAAACATTGATTCAAAATTCACTTGATCAAGTTGCCTCAGGACGAACTACACTGGTAACTAAATCTTTTTTTCAAACTCATATGTGTTAACGCTAAGAATCAGAAACTATAATAAAACCTCTCTTTATTAAAGCTAACAAGAACAATGACGTAACAAAAAATAAAGGTTTCAAGGACAACTATGTTCTTTTTCTCTTGGCCTAACTAACCGAAAAAAAAAAATCCGAAGAATTACTTTATAGCTTTTGTGAAGCCAACGTGAACAAAACACCCTTAAGAAAGAAAATAACTAAAATGGAAAGCTTAGACATTTACCTTATTAATTAAATAAAAAAGCATTGTAAAACGAACATTAAGTTATAGGTATCAATAGTTCTTGTATTTCTTGTGAAACAGGTGGTGGCGCATAAGCTTTCAACAGTTAGAGGAGCGGATCTTATTGCTGTGTTAGAAAATGGTTCCGTCAAAGAAATGGGTTCTCATGAAGATTTGATGACTAAGAACAACCATTATGCAAACCTTGTAAATCTTCAAAGAAAATTCAGACATGAATCTCGACAAGATCTTCAAGATGTGGTCAAAACTCCTGAGATACGAGAATGTTGGTCTGCCAAGAACAGTTTCAACAGGCAAAGCACAGCGTCTACTTCTGATCTTACTCTTTCTCCTATTCCATTATTGAGCACTCAAGCAGCAAGAATTGATGTTAATCTCCCTTCTACTTCTTTCACTCGACTTCTTCCATTGGTTTCCCCTGAGTGGAAGTCTGCTCTTGTCGGTTGCATATCAGCTGCAACATTTGGTGCAATCCAACCAATTTACGCCTTAAACATAGGCGGTATGATCTCTGCTTTCTTTGCGAAAAGCTCGCAAGAAATGGAGAACAAGATACGGATTTACTCCTTAATATTCATTTCCCTCACCTTTGTCTCCCTCACCTTAAATCTCCTTCAGCATTACAGCTTCGCTAAAATGGGTGAAAGGCTAATGCAAAGACTTCGGGTGAGAATGCTCGAAAAGATCTTCACCTTTGAACCCGCCTGGTTTGATGTGGAAGAGAACTTTAGCGGTGAGCTTTGTTCAAGGCTTAGCAGTGAAGCGTCCATTGTGAAGTCTTTAGTATCCGACAGAATCTCCTTGCTTGTCCAGACCATTTCAGGTGTCACGATCGCTATGATCATCGGTCTACTAGTTTCTTGGAAACTAGCGTTGGTCATGATCGCTGTCCAGCCTCTCACTATCCTTTGCTTCTACACCAAAAAAGTTTTGCTCTCCAGCATTTCCCACAATTACGCCTATGCGCAAAACCGTAGCTCACAGATTGCATCAGAAGCTGTTTACAACCACAAGATCGTTACTTCCTTGGGATCCACGAAAAGAACCATTGAAATATTTGACAAGGCTCAATATGATGCGACAAGAAAGGGTAGGAAAGCTGCATGGCTCGCAGGCTTTGGGATGGGATTGGCTCAGTGCCTAACCTTCATGACATGGGCATTAGACTTTTGGTATGGAGGAGTGTTGGTTCAAAAAGGCGAAATCTCGGCCGGTGATGTATTCAAGACGTTCTTCGTTTTGGTTAGCACCGGTAAGGTTATTGCGGAAGCAGGAAGCATGACTTCTGACCTTGCCAAGGGCTCTGCCGCCATTTCTTCCGTCTTCAAGATCCTTGATCGTCCTTCACCTCAAGTAAGTTTCAAAAGAACCCATTAACATTTCGTTATTTTATAGGTTAAAGGATTTTCTTGTTGAATAAGCAAAAAATATTTCACTAGAGTACTAGTTATAGTACTCTTATAGAGGTACAAAGAGTATCTAATGTAATATTAACAAGAATATGTCAATAGAAGAGATGCTATGATTAATCTAAACATTTTTCTTGGGTACGTGAAGGACAATACAAACCGTGGAGCGAAGATTGAGACTATAACCGGGAGAATAGAGCTTAAAGATATCGATTTCTCGTATCCAAACCGGCCTAGTATACCGGTGCTCCAACAGTTTTCCTTGGAGATCAAGCCAGGGACAAGCATTGGATTGGTCGGTACATCAGGGTGCGGAAAATCAACAGTGATCGCTTTGATCCAACGCTTCTACGACGTGAAAAAAGGATGTGTGTTAATAGACGGCGTAGATTTGAGAGAAATAAACATAAAATGGTATAGAAAACACACTGCACTAGTGAGCCAAGAGCCGGTAGTTTATTCCGGAACCATCCGAGAGAATATAAAGCTTGGACGGCCTGAAGCGGCCGAGGATGAGATTGTGGATGCTGCAAAAGCCGCCAATGCTCATGATTACATATCGTAAGTATCCTTCTATTTCTACTAGTAAAAGTCTAAAACACAAGTCACAGAAATAAATCAACAAGTATAGGCTAGTAGTTTAGTGTTAGGGTTTTCTTAAGAAGCGTACATGATACGTTATTATATAAGAGTTCAAAACTTGCGTTATTCTTCAACCTTTAGATAATTTTTTTTGATTTGCTGTTTTCATTCTATAAAGGGCATTGGAGAAAGGATATGAAACGGAGTGTGGAGAAAGAGGAGTGCAACTCTCAGGTGGTCAAAAACAGAGGATAGCTATCGCTAGAGCGTTTTTGAGAAATCCTATAATACTTCTACTTGACGAGGTAACGAGTTCCTTAGACTCTGACTCAGAGCAAGCGGTTCAGGAAGCTCTGGCTCGGATCGTGGCTATCCGGAAGATGACTACTGTAGTAGTGGCTCACCGTCTCAACACCCTGAAGAACTTGGACCGCATTGCAGTGATCGCAGAAGGAACTGTGGTAGAGACAGGGAGTTACGACCACCTGAAGAGCATTGGAGGCCAGTTCTCTAGACTTGTTCATGCTCATGATCTCAAATCCTGAAGAAACTTCTTTAACTCAAGGTTCATTATTGACTGAATAAAGTTACATATATTGTAATACTATTTGTATAAGTGTGTCACTCAATATCCAAAAACTTTAATTTCTATTTAGTGTTACTATTTGTTGGATAGATCATAGATGGGTTGTCTTGCAATTTTAGGAGGTGGAGGATAAATGTGAAAATATTGAATAATGTAAGGGGTAAACTGTAATTTCACGATCTTTGTTTTCTTCGTTAAAAAATGATTGGTATAGCAACAGCCAACGACCACTGAAATCAAAGGAAAACGCAGAGAGAGCAGAAACTTTATCAAAGCTCTATGGCTACTCTCACCGGAAACTTCTACCGGCCAATTATCACCGCCGTTGGAAGCGATTGCCGGCGGCATGCAACCACCTGTTTCCTCCCTCTTCCTCGGCGCAATGTAACGTCCCGTCTGCGGCCGATTATGAGTGTTCAGGTGGGCAACGAAATGCCACCGGCATCGTCTTCATCGACGGTGGACATGGAACACCTCCTTGAGTTTCTATACGAAGATCTTCCTCACCTTTTCGACGACCAGGGAATCGATCGGACGGCGTACGATGAGCGCGTGAAGTTCAGAGATCCCATCACCAAGCACGACACTATAACTGGATATTTGTTGAACATTTCTTTCCTGAAGAATATATTCGCTCCTGATTTTCAACTTCACTGGGCAAAACAGGTCTTTGCTAATTTCCCAAATTTGCTTCTCATTTGTTTTAGACTTTTAGTCCACTGATTTTGATGCAAGTAGAACACTTTAGTACCCTCTTAAGAAATTAAATGATCCATTTTGATGCAAGAAGAATCTAGTGTTTAAGTTTTTTTCACTTGTAACTGAAACTACACTACAAGCTGAAATGGAATCGTTATTACAACTCAATGTGCCCAATGCAGAAGAAACAAATTCAGAGAAGAAAGCTGAGCGTTAATTGCTTTGATACCGTATTAGAATATGTCAAGATAAACTCTCTCTTACTGATTTTAATTAGAAACAGAGGAGTTGTTTATTGTATACAGAGGAAATAAAGATAAACTGATTAACAACCACGCTAACTACTTGTTTACACATTTAATTACAAACTTGTATATGCTTTTGCAACCATAAGCTATAGACTGATGCAGCTGCTATAGACAGGTCCATACGAGATAACCACAAGGTGGACTATGGTAATGAAATTCTTGCCTTTACCATGGAAACCAGAGCTTGTCTTCACAGGGACATCGATCATGGTTGTTAATCCAGAAACTAAGAAATTTTGCAGCCATTTGGTATGGTTTTGGCATGTCTTGTTTATCTTATCCGTTTTCCTTTTTTTCTTGTGAATTCTCTTTTGGTGCGGTCTACTTACTAGACAACTTGATGTGCAGGACTTGTGGGACTCTATCAAAAACAATGACTACTTTTCTCTAGAAGGTCTTGTTGATGTATTCAAACAGGTGGCTTATCTCATTTTGCTTTCTTGGCACGAATCAAGCCTCCCTAAAACTGTTAATAGTGAATTATACTCTTATTGCAGTTACGGCTATATAAGACGCCTGACTTGGAAACTCCAAAGTATCAAATTCTGAAAAGAACAGCAAACTATGAGGTCACTCATCTTCTTCCTACTACTTTGAAACTGTATTGGCAAGTGTGATGCTTGGACTGAAATTTTATTCAATTGTTTTGGCAGGTCAGAAAATACGAACCGTTCATAGTAGTGGAGACAAACGGTGACAAGCTTTCTGGCTCTTCAGGTTTCAACAATGTCGCTGGGTGAGAATTGAGGCCATTTCTTTCTTTTTTGTTTGTTTATAAGTTCTTGTGTGATCCTTGTAATTAATGTTAACAAATGTCACCTGTGAAGCTACATATTTGGGAAAAACTCAACGATGGAGAAAATACCAATGACAACTCCAGTGTTTACCCAAGCAACAGATCCTCAACTCTCTTCCGTATCAGTACAAATTTTCATTCCATCAGGAAAAGATCTCAATAGGTAAAAAGCTTAACATCATCAATAGTTTAGTCGACGTTAGGTAATGTGACTTACTGAGTAAATTTCCTTGTCCCTCTAAGCTTACCAATGCCAAATGAAGAAAAGATAAACTTGAAGAAGTTGGAAGGCGGTTTTGCCGCGGCAGTGAAATTCAGTGGGAAACCAACAGAGGATATTGTCAGGGAAAAAGAGAATGAACTGAGGAACAGTTTGAGTAAAGATGGACTTAGAGCTAAGACGGGTTGTATGCTTGCTCGTTACAATGATCCAGGACGAACATGGAACTTCATAATGGTAATGATTCTTAGCTCTATAAATATTTGATGTCTATAATTAGAAACCATATGTTACTATTAGTTGTGTTAATTGTGATTGCCTTTCATTTTGCAGAGGAACGAAGTTATCATATGGCTTGAGGAATTCAGTCTGGACTAGCTTTCTCATTGGCTAAATGTTATCATAAGACTATACTTTGGGAAAGACATATGTACAAGTTTTGTGTACTTTTTAATGTATGCAGTAATTACAAGATCATCACATTCCAACGATAGAAATGTTGTATATAGACTCAAACCTACAAACTCTTGTTTTTATATGAGATGTAGTATATGAGGAATTTACCTTTTAACTCTTCTTGTTTAAACTGAATGGAGCCAAATAGAATAAGGATAAACTTGACACTGAGCATTGTGTCTATAACAATGTTTGGCATATCACAAGTGCCAAGGGCAGCTGTAGAATTACTTTGTGGAGTTCAACATGAGGAAGAGAGTTGGACTGCAAAGTTACGACGCGCAGGGAGAAGTGCAAAGTTACAACGCCCAGGGAGAAGTGGTTGATGATGTGGAGTAGCATGGGGGCCTCTCTTCAGAACTATGTGCACTACATGCTAGTAAAAGTTGCTCTTTATTTGTGCACAATCAAGATTTTAAACGATTCCTATAGATTCTCTAAGTAGTTTGAAGTTTCCAAAGACATACGATTGACAAGAAAAAAATGATTGATAATTTGTATAACCATTTGTAAATAACTATATTTTTGTTGATAAATTACACATTTAAACCTAAAAAATGTGTATGCAGGGAAAATATCTACTGGGATTTTTGATCTGATCTCAACAACAATAAGAAAAGAGAGAATGGATAACTCTTCGAGTCATCATCACTTGACTATAAGTCAAAACGTCGTCGCTTTGACTTGATCCACTTCCGCTTTCCATTGCTCCAATCTCTCAAAAGCTTCATAACTTTTTTCCGTTGAGTCGCTCAAATCAAGAAGCAATGCCACTCTCACTAGTTCAAGCCGCTTCAGTGTCCTACTTCAGATCCCAATCAACGATTCCGCTTCAGTCTTCACTTCTTCAAAAGTCCATCTTTCCAGGGTCCTCCAAGCTAACCCTCCACCGAATCCTTCATTCCACGAAGAGAGTCTCAAATGGGTCTGCTCGTGCTTCTCTGCTCGAGAGCCCTGTCTTATGGGCTGGTCGAATTTGTGTCTTCTACGCGCTCGTGAAATCTGGTTTTGCTGGATCCAAGTCTAACCCCATCGTTTCTGGTTAGTCATCAATTCACTAACTTCTCTAGGGTTCTCTCAATGGTTTTCGCTTCTATTCTTTTCATTTAACTTTGATGTTAATTGGATAATCTCAGGTCTGGAAAGTGGTGGTGTTGATGTTGAAGATGATGGTGCGGATCTTGGTTTCTCAAAGTGGCTTCTGAACATTAAGGGCAAAACAGGTTAGTTTCAATTATGTCTAATATTGCGTCAAGTCTAGAGCTTTTTAGTAAGAACCAGCAATAAAATGCCAATTGTAGATGTTTCAACTGCTACGCTTGAGTGGTTTGAAGATTTAGCTGTAGTTTCGGTTTGGTTGAGTGAAGGAAGATAGAGAAATGCCTGATTCTATCCAGACTTAATGCTTGAGTATGAGACAATCTGTTTATAATTTATATGCACAGGAAAGAATGCAGCTGATAAGATGAAGCTAGTGAGCAAATGGCACCCAACGACAAAAGGAACACTTAAAAGGAACTACAGGGTACCTTCCAAAAGCGAAGGAAACCGTCTTCTCAAAGCCATTGCGTCTCTTCTCTCAGATGATGACCACTTCAGAGATGCAACATCTCACAAGGTAACACAAAAACTCATCTATGATAATAATCTTCACTTGTTTACTCTCTCTCTGCGTTCGGTAAAAGAACTGAATTGAGATGCTATTGTAGGGTTGTCAAATACGGAGGGAGAGTGCGCATGGTCAAAGCGTGTGTTGCAACAACGTGAGAGCTCTGTTCGATGAGCTGCCTACGCCACATTTGGTGATTGAGATCACACCTTTTCCAGCCGGACCGCTTACAGAGAATGATTACCTCAAGGCCGAGAAGCTGGAAAAGGTCCTTAGGTCAGGTCCTAACATTTGAACCCTCTGTTACTCAGAGAGAGTGTTCTTGTCAAACGTCAAAATCTGTACATACTCTTACAATCTTTGGGCTCTATGAAAGTGTTGGTTTCCTATCCAAGCTTATACAATTTATAAATTATCAACGATCGTTTTAATGTTCATAATGATTCCCTCAGGCCATCTTCAATGTAACTATGCGAGCGACCATCAAATCACCAAAAAAAAAAAAAAAAAAAAAAAAAAAGTGCAGTTCTCAGGCGATCTTCAATTATACCATCAAAATCACAAAAAGACAAGAGCTGCCATTTGCTAATTGCATTTACACATGTAAAATGACAAACAAATGTTTTGAAACTTCTGTGGGGAAAATCAAATTCAATATTCTCTCCTCCACAATATTGAAAACACACTAATGGGTCAAGCGTCACTAGGTGAAAAAGGGTCATACACTAGATGCACACCAGCGTTGGACCGGTGGTGAAGCTGTTGTTGCCCCCTTGGGATCAGATTATCATGATGAAACACTGGTCTTGGAGGGAAATTCGCAGGATGCTGCGGGAACTGAGCTCCAGGGAAGTTCCTAGGGATCATCGGGGGCAATGGAGGTCCAAAGTCCTGCAAGTTGGAAGATCTCACGTTACCATGAAACTGTGCCAGCGGGTAGCCTAAGGGTTGATCCATCTGCCTGCCAAACTGCTGTGATCTTATGAAACTTTGCTCAAAATGAGAGACTTGAGTGACGGATGGGGCTTGAAATGCCAGATGAGGGAGATGAGCTGTGTGAGAGTTGGGTCTAGGAGATATCTGCGGTTGTGGGAGGAAACCGAAATCCCCGTGAAATGGCCTAGGAGCTGTATTTGTGGGAGGATATGTAGGAACAGGACCAACAGACCTTCCAGCAATATGTGGTGACACTGACATGGGACGCAGAGAACCACCAGAAGCATATTGTGTTAGATGAATCAGACTGAAACTCGAGGGAAAAGGAATTAGTGGTAGTTCAGTACCTGGCTGATGAGCTATCGGATGTGGACTGAAGTTAAGACCTAGAGGCCGTACTGACTGGGCCATGTTGCTTGGGACTATGTCTGGCAATGGCGTTGGTCTAAATACACTGCTCGGTGTAGGTTGGGAAGTCCATACAGTCGACGGCCTCATTGTAGATCGTTGTCCTATTGGTTGCATCTGACCGCCAGAATATGGAGGAGGATAGGCCCTTGGTGTGCTGGAAAGGGAAAAAGAGAACAAATCTGGTGGACGATGCACTTGAGAGCCAGGAGGTAATGATGTGTTATGAGGAATTGGAGGTGGTTGCTGAGCCAAAAGAAGATTGTGGTTCATAGAATTGGTTGGCAGTTCTGGATTCTGGATATGATTACCAAGACTTGGAGCAGAGGGATTAGGAGGTGGGTAATATGGATTTTGATTTAAAGCCGATGGAAAAGATGATCCATGCTGTTGGAATTGACTTTGTGGAGGTTGAACAGATCTATCAGTTGGTTGTTCAGAGCTTGGGGCTGTAGCAGGCGCGTCGCTGTTGCCTGGAATGGTTGAAGTTTCTTCAGATATGGAAGATGGAGGAGCAGCACCAGCTCCTGTATTTCTCTGCAAGGGATCATGATAATCTGAGGATCAGTGGAAAATTGAGACTTCATATATCATACTTCTGACTCTCATATATAAGTTATAGGAACTCACAGAGACTGAAGAGATAAGCAGCTCAATTACAGCAATAGCTGCATCCACTTTTTCGTAAGTGTCAGATGATATCTGAAAATATAACTCTTGCCAGGACGTCTGGATCTCATTTTCATCTGTAGCAGAGAGTTCAACCTGCACACATGAATAAAAACCCCTTTGCATTAAGAAAACTGAGAACTTTCAAGGACCAGCATGGAGAGCTAAAGCAACAGTAACGAGAGTCTCTTATCGTTATCCTCAATGTCAGTTTATTCCAATATTTACCTCCTCTCCTCCTGTTTTAGTACCAAAAACTTGCACTTTGGCTCCAGTCTCCTGTTCCCATTATGAAAGTAGTTAGCTTGTATACAAAGGTCGGATTAAATGGTAATCAAATTTGAGAAAAAAGACACAGAAGGAAGTTAACTCAAGGCCAACTAAAAACTGTAGCTGCAAATAACAGCAGTTACATGTGTAGGTGACTTACTTTTTCGAGCCGCTTCTGAGTATCGCCTTGGGAACCAAATATGAGACTTAGAAAGCTGAAATCAGAATGTTCTTTGACCTGCAAAAGCACATGTCCATACAATATCAACTTCGGCGAGCTGAGTTTTACTTTTACATGACTCTAAGAAAACAGAATCCAGAAGATGTTGTACAGGTTGAAACAGCATGATATATCAAACCCACAAGTGATACAGATAAACCGGCGAAAGAAAAAAAAAGGTCACTGAAAGGGTTTATACTAGTTTTCCATTCTTTACTAGGATTTAAGCAAAACCACTATCAGAAAAGTAACTCCATGAGCTATATCTATAACAAGTCTACAAAGACTTTCTAGCTTCTGTGAGATGGTAAGGTTTAACATGAGAAAACAAATGCAAACTTTGAGAAAGCTTTAACCCTCTGACTAAGTAAATAAACTTACATTGATCGGCAATCTAGCTTCTTTCAGCAATGGCTTATAATCAGGTGGAGCCTTGTACCTCGGATTCAACTCAAGTATCTCCCCTAGAAATCGAAGAAACTACTACATGTCACTCGACGTAAAGCGAATGAGAAGATGGAATGAGGAAAAATTCAACATACCAATTACTTCGCGTTTTTCAATATCCAGATGTTCAGCAAACTTGTTCCATAAACACATAGATGACAGAAAACAGAAACTGAGCTTAAATAACCAAAGAATCGAAATGAAGAAGGCAAAAATGCGGAAAATCATTTACATCAGACTCTTTATTAGCCTCGGCTTCAAGAGCTCCTGATTCCAATTTCTGTGTAATTTGACCCAAGCGTTTCTGCTCAAAATCCAAACACACAGTATATGAGTACCAATGAGCAATGCTAAAGCAATCGATTGATTCAATCATCGAGCCAAAAGTAGATGAATGGCTTTCAAGTGAATACCTGATAAGCTAAAACTCGAGCCTTCTTGACGGCAGTATCTTGTGTCAAATCAGGTCCCCATTTAGTCTTCCTCTTCCCTAGCTTCGCGAGCAGTCCATTATCCGTATCGGAACCTCCCAGGGCTTTCCCGCGTTGAAAAATCGGGATCAGTGACCCAGATAACTTGTTTTTAGGGATGACGAATCCGGACTTGGCACCAAACATTGAGATCTTCGCGCCGCTAGTAGAAGTCATCTCCGAGTGTTGGGACGGAGGGGATCGTCAAATGAAGGTGAAATCCGCGGCGGAGAAACTTCCCCGTCGGTTTGAGAATCACGTCGCCGGTAGCGATTGCTCTCGTCGTTATCAAGGGTTTCAAGAAAAAAAGGGGTTTCTGTTTTTATGTGCTCGACTGTATTGTAAAAATAAAATTCGGTGGTGTTAAAACTTAAAAGGAATAGAGTCAACATAAGAGAAAGATACATCGTTGAGCTAGAGAATCAGTGCCAATTTCACAGAACGAGAAAACGAAAAGCGCGAAAACGTTTATCTGGAAACTATAAATCGTGTGGGAAAATGAAGAAATCACGTTTTTCGCATTTTTTATTCCCGTTTGCGTTTTCATGTTGTTTTACTGTGTTTTAGCCTTTAGGTGTTTTGAGTATCTGAATGCGATTGGAGGAAAAAGTACATAAACGAGGACAAAACCACGAGAAATGAACGTGATCTTGAAGGATGAAATTGGATTAAGAAGCTCGGGAATCAAAATCGTTTTGATGAACATGCCAAAACCGAACTAATTTGCATTTTGGCTAGAGAACACACGAGTCGCAGTGTGAAACCACTCGACAACCCAAATTGAATACGATCGAGACAGTCACAGTTGAGTTTTCACGGTACTCAAAGGCACCTAGCGTCCCAAATCCTAATAATTGTGGTCCATTTCCACAATAAGGCCGGTCATAAACTGTCCCTTGCATTTTCTCACCGAGGAAAACCCCATAGTCCATATGTGGCTCGACCAAGACTGACTACTAACTGCCTAGGTCCGCGATGGAGCCTTCCTGTTTTGTGGCCACTATCTCCTTATGAACACCAACTTTCCAAAATGTTTTGTTCTCGAAAAATAAGAACAATCTTATACTTCTCCTCTTTATAAGATTTTTTAAAAACTTGGTCTATGTTTTTAACAAGTGGAAGACTTGGAGCATGTCCTTCAAAAAGTACTAATATTATAGGGACTTTAGCTTGGTTGTTTCCCTACTATTTCACCTTTGCTGGGCAACCTAACATCATTCATCTTTTTTCATGACAAACAAATTCATTCCGAAGAACAATATGATTTACTTAATACTATAAAATCTCGACTTCATGGGATTACAGTTTGAGCCTCTTTTTTTTTTGTTTATTGTTAGTTACTAATCCGGTTAGTTAAATAGTATGCGACACTTGTCTGTTACTAACAAACCAAAGTATGTCGTACTACAGAATACAACACTACCTAACGTTCCATAGGACAAAGACATTAGATTGGAATTTTATTGAAGGGGCAAAAGAAGAAAAGGAGTGGAAATGAGGAAAGGCTCTTGTGGGCAGTGACTTCCCATAAAGCCTAAACTTTTGGGACCCCATCGCTACAGCCACGTGACCACGATTCCTCCGCCAGCTCGCATTGTCTCTCCTTGTGGACCCGATCCCAAAAGTCGTCCTTTGCTTTTTTTCTTTTCCTTTATTTTTTTCTCAATTTATTCTGCGCATTAAAAACCTTCAAGAAAAATATGACCCTTTTCGTCAACGTTTGTGTCCACAATTTTTTTTTTTTTTTGGGTTTTTAATGTTAAGGTTTGCAATCCTCTATTTGTTTAGTTATATATCCAACTATAAATTTCTCTTTCAGTTATCACTAATATATGTTGTAGACTTGTACTGATAATTTAGTTTTTCTTTCTCAATACCACCATGGCCGTCTTTGCTTCAGAATTACGTCAACGTCACCAACCCATTTTTTGGCGGTGTGTGTCTTGTTATCTAAATAATATCTAATACACCAAACTGACTATTAACAATATAGACTGGATGTTAACTTTTAACCAATGCGTTGGTCATAATAGCTTTTCGTTAAACATAAATCTACAATATAGAAGGTTGGTACTTGAAGCAAGCAAAGCGGGCAAATTTAAGGAAGACAACCTCAATACTTACAGAAAGATCAATGTAGTTGTAACTTAGGTGACCACATAATTGCTCTTTTTTATGCCCAAAAAGTCTAACTCGTAACCAAACCAAAAAACTCGCATGTAAATGATAAAAATTATTTAGTTGTACATAGATAGCTAGATACACACACAACACACACTACGAATAATAATAATAGACATGTGAATCACCTCATCCTATCTGTACTTGATTTAAGCTTTTGGATAAAGAAAATAAAATTTCCCATTTAAATCAATTTTTAATAGATAAGAGTACAATAATAATTAGGAATATTTAAATCACTCATTTGATAAATTTATTTATTTATTTATTTATAAAATAATATTTTTAAGTTCTTAAAACTACTCAAAATAATTCAAACTTTATTAAAATTTACTAAATTAACTTCTCCAAAATTTTCAAAAAATAATCCAAAATTTCATAAATTACCTAAAGTACATAATGATCTACTTAATTTATTATACGCACAATCCCTATCCATATATTTTTAGTATCCAGTTTTTTTTAGTTGATTTTGTTTTATCTTGAGTATTTGTTTTAGTAACTTTTATTCGCTATTATCGGTTTTTTATATATCCAAAATGAAGAAGCCTATCTAACAGTAATAAATAACCATAATCATTTGGTATGTACACTAGATATTTAGATACAAAACACAACCCACTACTAAAGAGCCAATGGCACATGCAATAAAGTCACCACTTTTGTTAGAAACTCACACACAACATTCCGAAGGAAGAACAAGGAGAGAGAGATATATAGAGAGAGGGGGTTAAAACGGGAAAGAGTGAAAGTAAAGTCACGTCGGTCCGTTTTGGTCAGATTTCAAAGAGTGAAGCCTAAGGGAAGATAAAAAAACCAGGTTATTGTCGTTGCAGTTAAGCTCTCTCTCCCCTCAATTTCCTTTTCATCTCTCTTAATTCCATTTCTACCCCTTCTTCCTTTTTCCTCTCTCTCTCTAAACACACATCATCAAACCAATATTTGTCTGCTGCAACTTCACCCTCTCTTCTTCTTCCTCTCTCTGCTTCACTCTCTCTCTCTCTCTCTTTATTCCAGATCACTCATTCATCCATCAATGGAATCCGCGACGCCGGATGATTGTTGCGTTAAAGTTGCTGTCCACATTAGACCGCTCATCGGAGACGAACGGCTTCAAGGCTGTAAAGATTGTGTCACTGTCGTTTCCGGTAAACCACAGGTACAGTTTTCCTTTTTCCATTTTCAGCAATGTTATAGCTCTGTCTCTGTTTATTAATCTGAACTTCTGAAGAATTTCATTTCCTTTTTATTTTAATAAAATTATTTTCAGCTGATTTGATTAAGCTTTTTTCTCGGAACTGATTCCATCCCTGAGATCTAGATCTTGCGACGTTTATTAGAATCTGTTGATCTTTTTATTTTATTTCTTCTTTTCTTTTCTTTTTGCATGTTTGACTTAGCAGCTCTGTTTTTAGTACAATTCCGAATTATTGCATCTTAATTTATTTCCTTAATAATTAACTTGCTCCCAAGATTAATTGCTTTATTACCATCCGGCCAAAAAAGTCCAAAAATTTACATGAGAGAATTGTGTTACTGTTTTGCAATCTGCAATGCTTAATTGTTACTTGGAAATTAATCCTTTATCAAACAAAAAAGAAATTGTTACTTAAGAAATTTTGTCAAATAGATTGAGAATGTAATAATAAAGCATTTTATTTTCTTGATTGTGTTTAGGTGCAAATTGGATCACATTCTTTTACATTTGATCATGTATATGGAAGCACAGCTTCTCCATCTACTGAAATGTATGGAGAATGTGCTGCACCGCTCGTCGACGGCTTATTTCAAGGCTACAATGCCACGGTTCTTGCTTATGGACAGGTACCTAATAAGATCACTGGAACTCTGTTTTCTTTTCTCTTCTTGATAGCTTTTGACTTTGTTTAATATCATCAACATGGCAGACTGGTTCCGGTAAAACATACACAATGGGGACTGGCTGCGGAGACAGTAGCCAAACAGGAATCATACCTCAAGTTATGAATGCTCTTTTCAGCAAGATTGAGACTCTCAAGGATCAAATCGAGTTTCAAATCCACGTTTCTTTCATCGAGGTTCGTTTCAAAAACAGCTGAAAACTCTCTCGGTTTCTTTTTCTTGATTGGTTTTGTAACCTGACACCATTATAATGATTCTCATTTTGCTAGATTCATAAAGAAGAGGTGCAAGATTTGCTTGATCCTTCCACTATAAACAAATCAGACGTAGGCAAGGTAGCGACACATGTCCCTGGGAAGCCACCGATACAGATCAGAGAAACGTCCAACGGTGTGATCACATTAGCAGGATCCACAGAAGTCAGCGTCACTACTCTCAAGGAGATGTCTGCTTGTCTTGACCAAGGATCGATCAGCAGAGCTACCGGTAGTACCAACATGAACAATCAGTCCAGGTGACTTATAATTTCTATGTACAACTTAAATCCACAAAGTGGACATTGTAGTCATAAGAGTCTTGTTTTTCTTGTATTGCCATGCAGTCGTTCACATGCCATTTTCACTATCACTGTGGAGCAAATGCGCAAGATTAATACAGAGTCTACTGAAAACGGTGCTTACAGTGGGAGCTTGAAAGAAGAATATCTTTGTGCCAAGTTGCATCTAGTAGATCTTGCTGGTTCGGAGCGAGCCAAAAGAACTGGTTCTGATGGTTTGAGGTTTAAAGAAGGTATGTGTTCTTCTGTTGCATTTTGTTTTTTTAGACCAGAAGTAAAGCCTTTTTGATCACTGTGCTGTAATGGAAGTTGATTCTTTTCAACAGGAGTTCACATAAACAAAGGCCTCCTTGCGCTTGGTAATGTCATCAGTGCGCTTGGAGATGAGAAAAAGCGTAAAGATGGGGCACATGTTCCTTACAGAGACAGTAAACTTACACGGCTTTTGCAGGTATATATATGTTCTTGCAAATTTCTTGATATCACATTGTTCCACTGTTTCCTCTTTCTCAAAAGTTTTGCATTTTAAATTTCTTAGGATTCTCTTGGGGGCAACAGTAGAACTGTGATGATAGGTAACATTTTAAGCCCTTTCCAGTTTGGTTAAATGCTCGTTCTGGCTTCTCTAATGCGTTCTATGCGTGTTCCAGCTTGCATCAGTCCTGCAGATATTAATGCTGAGGAGACACTTAACACTCTGAAATATGCAAACCGTGCTCGAAACATCCGGAATAAACCTTTTGTAAGCTATTCTGATAATATGTCGATCTCAAGAAACTAGTTATTGACTGAAGCTAGATTACTCTAATTTGATTTTTTTTCTTTACAACAGGTTAATAGAGATCCAGTGTCCAGTGAGATGCTAAAAATGCGGCAACAGCTAGAGTACTTGCAGGCAGAGCTCTCCTTACGGAATGGAGGATCCTCCTCATGTGCAGAACTTCAGGTATGTTTACATTAGTCTCTTGTTTTATTTGGAAATCAAGAAAGTACTAAGGTTAAGACTTAAGAGTGGATGTGATGATGTAGGTTCTTAAGGAAAGGATTGCTTGTCTTGAAACTGCTAACGAAGACCTCTGCCGCGAACTTCATGAGTACCGCAGCAGATGTGGTGGTGTAGAGCCTTCTGAAAAGGACTTTAAAGACATACAAGCTGTAATATATCCTAATCGATCCTCTCTTCTTCTTTTTTTTTATCATATGTGAGATATCATGTATGTGTATGTATGTGCCTTGCATATTAATGTTGAAGTGGTTATTTAATTGGTGGCAGGATGAAATCGTTGGTTCTGTTAGACCTGATGGGCTTAAAAGGAGCTTACACAGTATAGAGTCGTCCAATTATCCCATGGTTGAAGCAACAATAGGTATAAGAAAGATAAGACTCTGACAAGTTCTGAAACTAAAAGACAGTAATGTTACTCAAGACAAGAGTTTTCATTATGTGCAGGTGATTTGAAGGAAATAGACGAAGAGGCAAAGGAGTGGGAGCACAAGCTCTTGCAAAATAGTATGGACAAAGAGTTGCATGAACTCAACCGCCGTCTAGAGGAAAAAGAGGTCTGTTTCACTTGTCATTTATGCACTAGGAATTTCTTTTTGGCATACAGAGACTGATTGTTTTCCATAACTGTAAAATCCATGTATGAAAACAGTCTGAAATGAAGCTTTTTGACGGCTATGATCCGGCTGCGCTAAAGCAACATTTTGGAAAGAAAATTGCGGAGGTTGAGGATGAAAAGAGAGCTGTTCAGGTGGAATATATTTTGCATTTTGTGCTTAGGTTTCATCTTGAAAGTTTCACTAACAAACATATTTCGAGTTGTTGAACTGTTTCTTTCTTTCTTTCTTTCTTTCTTTCTTTCTTTCTTTCAGGAAGAGAGAAACCGTTTGTTGGCTGAAATTGAGAACCTTGCTTCTGATGGTCAAGCCCAGAAGTTGCAAGATGTGCATGCTCAGAATTTAAAATCGCTTGAAGCACAGATTCAAGACCTTAAGAAAAAGCAAGAGAGCCAGGTTCAGCTACTGAAGCAGAAACAAAAGAGTGATGACGCTGCTCGGAGGTTACAGGATGAAATCCAATCCATCAAGGCACAAAAGGTATAAATATGATACTTGTTTTTTTTTTTTACTTTGAAAATGTTCTATCACATCCATAAATATCTTTCAGTCATGCATATAGATTATAGACTCATTTCACATAAGTGCATTTGTTTGATTCTCTTCCTTGGCTTTGTAGGTTCAGCTGCAGCACAGAATGAAACAAGAAGCAGAACAGTTTCGACAGTGGAAAGCCTCCCGGGAGAAGGAACTTTTGCAGGTACCTTTTCTTTCTGCTTCTTACTTTAGTCCTTGTGTTGATATTCTCTTCTCTCAAATCATCTTATATTCTAACTTTACCTTTAAATTTGCCTAACTCAGTTACGAAAAGAAGGGAGAAAGAGCGAGTATGAAAGGCATAAGCTGCAAGCTTTAAATCAGCGTCAGAAAATGGTAAGCTGTTGTTACCATCTAGTTTTGATAGTTTGGACCTTGAGTAATATTCCATGATCTCGAGAAGATCCCAAAAAAAAGGAAAAGATTCAGCTGTGAAATTAAGAATTTTTTATCACTCTCAGGTTCTTCAGAGGAAGACAGAAGAGGCTGCAATGGCTACCAAGAGATTAAAAGAGTTGTTAGAAGCTCGGAAATCGTCTCCTCGTGAACACTCAGGTATGATTAAAGTACTTGAAAATTTAAATATAATCATGTCACTGCTGGTTGATATTCTAAGTAAAAAAACACTTTTCATGCAGCTGGTACAAATGGCTTTGGAACAAATGGTCAGGTGCGGATTGACCTTGGTCCCTTTTTTCTTTATCTTGTGAAGTTTATATCAGTGTGATTCTCTAGAAAGCTAATCGATTTCATACTCTTTTAGACCAATGAGAAGTCGTTGCAGCGCTGGCTAGATCATGAGTTGGAAGTCATGGTGAATGTGCATGAAGTACGTCATGAGTACGAGAAACAAAGCCATGTGTAAGTCCCGAATGCATTTGACCTTTGCAATAATTTTATCATCACAAAGATTGATTACTGATTATGCTTGTGATGATAATTACAGACGAGCTGCTCTAGCGGAAGAGTTGGCTGTGTTAAGACAAGTGGACGAGTTTGCAGCGAAAGGATTGAGTCCTCCAAGAGGAAAAAATGGCTTTGCTAGGTACTTTATTCTCCATGAATTTTCATTAGCTTTTTTTATTTTGCTTCTGTACTTATTTACAAGTTTTGTTTCAGGGCATCATCGTTGTCACCTAGTGCAAGAATGGCCAGAATATCTTCACTTGAGAACATGCTTGGGATATCTTCTAATTCTCTAGTAGCCATGGCATCACAACTCTCTGAGGCAGAAGAACGGGAGCGTGCCTTTACAAACCGTGGCCGGTGGAACCAGCTTCGATCAATGGGAGAGGCCAAGAACTTGCTTCAATATATGTTCAACTCTCTTGCAGAAACAAGGTGCCTTTAGTTTCCAAGTGAATATTGAAGGTGTTACTCCAATCAAGATTTTCATGACTTTTCTTTTCTTTATGCCCATGCAGGTGCCAATTATGGGAGAAAGATGTGGAAATAAAAGAAATGAAAGAACAGTTTAAAGAAATTGTTGGCCTTCTTAGGCAGAGTGAGTTGAGAAGGAAAGATGCAGAAAAGGATCTTAAACTAAGAGAGCAAGCAATTGCTACTTCCTTAGCTTCATCTCCACTTGTAAGATTATTCCACCTTTCTTGTTTCATTCATATTTCAGTTTTACTTTAGTTTTGGTTAGTGAAATAATGCATGCCAAATATAGGGAACACCGCCGAGTTCAGTGAAACATTTGGCTGAAGACCTGAGCACAGCTTCTCCAATGACCGTGCCAGCACAGAAACAGCTCAAATTTACCCCAGGGATTGCTAACGGAAAAGTGCGAGAATCAGCTGCATTTCTTGATGCAAACAAGAAGGTTAAATTCATATTATTTCTGCTTCTTTAGTAGTTTGCTTTACTATAGGGATCTAAGAGTTTTATCTACTGTTTTTGTTGGGTGCAGATGGTACCAATGGGACAAGTATCAATGAGAAAACTATCAGCTGTAGGACATCAAAGTGGGAGACTTTGGAGGTGGAAGAGAAGTCATCACCAATGGATCGTTCAGTTCAAATGGAAGTGGCAAAAGCCATGGAGACTCTCTGAGTGGATTAGGCACAGTGACGAAACACTCCTCAAGTCGAAACCACGACATAAGGCTCTCCCTAATAAGATCATGTGATCAAGTTTGCTTGCGGTTTTCAGAGAGAATGTGTTTTTTAGTGTGTTCAAGCTCTCTCTACCTATGAGTATGAAGACTGTTATGGAAAGTGTCATACAAATGGGTGCAGGTAATCAAAATCCTTCCGTAGATTATCTAAGCAACTTAGAGAGGATATTTTGTTGGTCTTTTCTAACAAAGATCACATTCATGCACAAGCAGAGACTGGACTTGCTGCTGTGTTTTTCTCTTAACGTTGTGTGTGATATTGGAAACCTCGTGGTTGTGCGTGTCTACCTCATTAAGGAGAAGCATCAGGACGAGCGGTGCGGAAACGCTTGATGTAGCTAACAGATAGCAGACGGCTTGTTAGGAGTCAGATTGATTGTTCTTTTTCATGTTGATAGAATTGACATCTTATATACATCACTAAAAGGAAGCTCATCTTCAAGTTGCAGATATTATTTGTATGAAGAAGTTACCAGTTTATTTTGTTCTTTGGCTTTCTTGTAAATGATATAATATCTGTGTTTAGTGTTCAGTTTTGTTCAAGTCTCGACCAACACAGATTACACATTACAAGTCTCGGATGTGAAGATATGAGACAGATCTGTGTGTTAAAAGATCCACAACAATCAACACCCAAATATTACAGCAGAAGCGATATGTAGTGTCACTTCACATATTGCTACACCAGTAAGCATAGTGTTCATCTCTTCTATGGATGCTCACGAGACCACCGCATTGCAGACAGATAAAGCTGCTTCCGTCGGCAAAGGCGTCAAGCATGATCTGTGACCTCCCGCTTTTCTCAAGAATAGATACGCCGCGAGAATCCGCCGTCACTGTTTCTTTGGTACCAAATGAGTCTGTTGATGTTGGCGTTGGCTCGTGCCAAAGAGGCTGTGCTTCTGTGATGGCACACTCTGCAAATATAGAAGCCAGCTGGTCCATACTAGCTGTGTCTTGGATTCTACGCTTGTATAGTTCACGAGTACGGTTTAGGACCTGAAGCACCGCTTCGTCTCCTCCTTGTGTTCTCATCGCCATCACCACCTGTTCAGAACAAGATAGACTGACTCAGGAAATGGAAAAATACTCACAAGTCAGAACCAATCCCAATTCAACAAGGAAAATACTTTAGCATTCTGAAAGTCTAGAATAAGATAAAAACAGATTTGCATAATCTACTACTACAAAATGCGTTAATGGGTCTCTAGTCACACTATCTTCTACAATTTTAAACCTTGTTTATATGATAAGTCAATGGATGAAAGCAATGTGATAGAATTCAAACCATTAAACTACTTCCTTATTCACTTCACCATTGAAGAGACTTATGCTGCTGACTGTGATCTGTGGGGAAGTAGTTGAAGGAGAAGAATGCAATGGGTCAAATTTTAGATACACATTCGAACTTTTACAATCACTACTATAATGGTAGCTAATGATCATAGGGACAAAATCAAGAAGCAAAGAAGCCAAAAATCAAGACTTCATCCTTATGCAACATTTGAATTACTTTGATCTACAAACATTTGGAGGGATTAATCTCTACAAAACCATATATCAATATTTTGATCTTAAGAGACGAAAACCATTGAAACAACTAAAAATCTAGAGGAATTCCAGAAGAATACAATCGACGAATCACCCTAATCAAGTCCAAAGCTTTCTGTATAAAAAAAAAGTAGCAAAGGAGAAAGGCCCCCGCAACGAAATTGTAACAAGCCGAAGAAGAATGTTAAAACGGAAATGGAAGCGGAAAGGGATAAGAAATCGGAGATACCGCTTGGAGAGCTTGGGATGGCTCTCCTTGATCGATGAGCCTCCGAGCGGCGGAGAGGAAATCTCTGGCGGTGTCCGGTTTTTGAAGAATGAAGGTCTCGCCGGTGTCGGTCTCCATCATCTCCGCCTCGTGATCACCGTTCATGGCGTAATGCATCTGCGACTGGAGGGAATCCAAAAGGTAAGGTAAAAAGAGTTACTGATTGAACGGTATGCCAGAGGATTCTAGGAGCTTCGGAATTTCTTGTCGGATTCCCTTTCTTGTACAAATTACACCTCTTAGTTAATTCAGGAATATTTTCAAGAAAAAAAATGTTACATGGAATAAAAAGCATTAAAAATTTAAAATCAAGTGTTTTTTTTATATCTAAGTAAACGAAAAGAAATTTAATTTGTTTAGATAAACAGATAAATATTTATAATTTGTATTTTGTAAACTCTGTTCCGCTGGTTAGGATTCCCGCGGAAATTCAACAAAAAAATTTACTGACAAAAAGAATTTTTAAATTGTTGTTAAAAATTAACGAAAAATAGAAGTCCCATTAGTTGGGAGATTCACTAATAACTTCTACACCAAAAGATATGGGTTTCAATCCCCAGAAAATGCGATTTATGTAGATTTATAGAGGAAGGTTCGCATAAGGAAGGCATGAGAACTTGAGAAGATAAGGAAAAATTCTAGAACGGGTGCAAGATAGCTATTGATAATAGGTTTATATAAGGACGATGAATTTTTTTTTTTTTTTTTGTCATCTGAGATTTTTATTAGAAACATAACATAATACAAAGCCGGCGGAAGTGAATTCCCCGGAGATTAAGCCCAAAAGAGGGAAGCCAGATGAAAAAACAACTAAAAACAAATCAATCTAAAACTCCCAAGCAATTAGATGATAACGACTAAAAGGCAAACGGTTCACCGAGGATAAAGCACACCTCCAACCTCAGACAAAAGAACCACCAAAACAAAAACTTCCAACTTCTGAAGAACCTTTCCAAAACCATACCGCAGATGCCTCTCGGCCAACCAACGGTAGCATATACCCCCTTAATAAACACGCAAACTACTTCCCAACTCAGAACACCACCCTTCATAACCCGACAAGATATTCAGAGTCTTCCGGATGCGGCGATGTCGGTGACTAGCAACGTTTTGCGCCTAGATAGAAGTGCCATGAAGAAAAGAGCTCTCGATCGGAACGGAAAGTAGCGACAAGGAGCGACAACTCAAACCGGATATCACCAAGCTTCAGCGAGCACGGGATAGATCGATCCGGAGAAAACCCAACAAAGCGAACTCGTCAGAAGCACACAGAAGATTGAACGATGGCTCGAGAACCGAGACAAAGGAAAACCAGATCTAGAGCAGAGATCTTGGGCAAGAGGCAAATCGTGGAGTAAGAAACATAGTCACACCGATGGATCTTGATAGAATAGTTTATTATCCATTAATAATTATTCTTGTGATTGTCTTCTTAGACATTATAAAAAAGTAACAAAAATTATATTTTTTAAAACAAGCAATAATCGAATGTTGCAAAAAAAAAAACAGTTATAAAAAAAAAATATTTCCTCTAATTTTTGGAAATTATACTATAATTTTAGAACTTAATTTTTGTTTTATTATTATAAGTATCGTTCTATATTTTAATGCACTTTTAAAATAAATTTTCAAATTATATTATCATTTACAATTTTTTACAAATATAAAAAAGTTACTACTTGTTATTAATACTTAAATAAAAATTAATCAATATACTGAAGAAGTAAAGTTAAAACTGAATTTTTGTTTAAAATTCTACATTAGAATTATAAAATTACATATTTTGTGAAACAAAAAATAAAACTCTAAATCGATATTTTTATAAAACAGAGGAAATAATCAGTTTTCTATGAATCTGTATCTAGAAAAAATAAATCAGTACGAGAGCTCTCTTTGAATATTTTTTTATAAATGAAAACAAATTTAAAAGTAGTTAAAAACGAGAAGCGGAGGCTGTCGAAAAAAAAAAAAAAAAGTAGTTAAAAACGAGTCCATTTAGGTTTGTTGGGCCTTTAACTGGAAATGAAGATCACTAGTGTCATTCTGGTTTCGCCATTGGTGTTTCATCCCTCTGTATCTACTACCACCACAGGCTGCTTTGCAGAGCCTCGTTGAGAGAGAGAGAGAGAGAGAGAGAGAGAGAGCCATGGCGGGCTGTGTAAATTCCATTTTGCCGCCGATGACTCTTTGTCCTCCTCGTGCCTCTCTATCATCACCTCCTTCACGGTCAACCTTCTCGTTTTCCGGTGATGCCGTGCACTCTCTTTTCCGGGAGTCAACCATATTCCTCCGACGTGCTTCTTCGAGATCCCCGTCAATCGTCGCCACCAGATTTCAGGTAAATGCGTTTGAGCTGCAAATTTGAATGCATTTAGATGCGCACCTATCTTTGCGAGCTGTTAATTTTGTAATTTTCTTCAGGTTGTGGCGGCCGAAAAAGCGGAGCCTCTGAAAATTATGATCTCAGGAGCTCCTGCTTCGGGTAAAGGTACACAATGCGAGCTGATTACTCAGAAAGTAAGCTTCATGGTCTTGCTTTTTGATTATTCAATGGATAAACAATCTCATGAATCAGAATTGTAATCACATATTCACATTTCACTATGAAATTTGAAAATAATCTGATCGATTTTGTAAATGAAGCTCAACTTAGGCTCACCATTAGCATTCCATGAGACCAGTTTTTGGCTGTATCATAGTTAGGGATTTAGCAATGCGTTAGGTGTTTCGTAGCTTAGGTTGTTGTTGAATAGGCAAGGAAAATCGTTCTCTTGATGAAAAAAAAACTCAGTGTTTCTGTGGAACTCGCTAGTCAAATGCTTGCTTTATGATGGTTGATTGTTACATGAACTTCTACCACTTTGCAGTATGGTTTGGTGCATATCTCTGCTGGAGATTTGCTGAGGGCTGAAATCGCTTCTGGAAGTGAAAATGGAAGACGGGCAAAGGAATTTATGGAGAAAGGACAACTGGTCCCTGACGAAATAGTTGTGATGATGGTAAAAGATCGTTTATCACAGACGGATTCAGAGCAAAACGGATGGCTTTTGGATGGATATCCTAGGAGCTCATCACAGGCAACAGCTCTCAAGGGATTTGGATTCCAGCCTGATTTATTCATTGTCCTGGAAGTACGCATTATTCTTATCGTTTATGTTCCTTATCTCTCATTTAAAGGCTTTCTATAGAGTTGGCTAGGTTAGAGTTGTGTTTATGAGTTCATAGCAATGGATTAAGTCTAACCGTTTAGAGGAAAGATGATACAAAGCATTGCTGGAAATTTAGATACTGGTAAATCAGTATTAGAAGCCAGACTACTGAAAATAAACTAGGTCCATTAGCTATCTATCTTTCGTGTAAGATGATTTTAACGAGATTCAGTCACATTGCTTTGACTCTTAATCCAGTGAATGGAGATTGGTTCATTTAATTTACGCCTACTCTGATTTGGGGGCAGGTTCCTGAAGATATTCTAATTGAAAGAGTTGTTGGGCGTAGATTAGATCCTGTCACGGGAAAGATCTATCACTTGAAGTATTCTCCTCCAGAGACAGAAGCGGTCGCTGCTAGACTCACCCAACGTTTTGATGATACCGAAGAGAAGGCAAGTCCATACGTCTTATATAGTCTGTGTCTCTTAAAGTTTCTCATTCAGTCATTAATTCTCAGACACTGAAAACTCGCTCTTAGTCAAACTCTGTCCCTGATTCTTTGCATTTCTCTTTTGCTGTAGGCAAAACTGCGGCTGAAGACTCATAACCAAAATGTGAGCGATGTGCTTTCTATGTACGACGATATAACCATCAAGGCATGAGTTCTCATTCAAACCCTTTCCATTTCGGTTATTTCATCTCTTCTTTAATGAGTTTCATGAAGCAAAACGGTACTTTGTTTATTATTATTCATCCAGATAAAGGGAAACCGTCCAAAGGAGGAAGTGTTTGCTCAGATCGATACTGCTCTGTCCGAGATGCTTCAACAAAGGAACACTGCTCCAAGTTCACTATCAAGTTGAGTCATTCTTGGCAAGGACCTGAGGAAGTGTGAGCCTAGATCGATACTGCTCTCATGCTCTATCTGAGTTGCTTCAACAGAGTAACACTGATCCAAAGTCACTTTGAAGTTGAATCATTCTTGGCACAGACCTAACCAGCGGTAAATACCAACTCTTGCATTTATCACAGTCTATTGATATCACTTGTATCACAATAACGTGTATGCTCAGATATATGCGACCTTCTTTGTTATACTTTGTAGATTTTACTGAAAATAATCCCATTGTGTTCTCTTTTTACAATCATGAAGAATGGCATTTAGGACCTTGAAAGTATCAGTCAACTTTTTGACAGTTTGCGTCTATATTCAATTTGACAATGGTAGAAAGCCATTATTGTTTAGCTACTCTTCTTATTCATAGCAGCCTTTAAGACTTTTTCCATGGAGTCTAATATAAGCTGATATGTTTTTACACCTTTTGTCTCCAAACAATTGACTTGGAATCTCATGTAGTGCGTACAAGAAGAAAGCAACGAATCTCATTGGCTTTTGCTTTGAGCTTTCACATTAAGCTTGTGCCAAGGTTTCTTTGAGAAAAATAGGAATTAAGGAGGACCAAAAGAATTGGAAAAAGTAAAGCTATTGGTACATGTTGCTGACCAAAAAAATAAAAATAATTAATTAATTTACACGTGGCTAGATAGTGGAGCCGCCAAGCAACCAGCCAAAGCCCTCTCTAGGTAACTAAATACCTCCGCCATTGACGGCCTTTGCCGACCACACGGCATCACGCACTCCACCGCCAAGTTCCCGAGTTGCGCCACTGATTCGATCTCAAACGGGGTCGGCGGCGGAATCCTCCGGTCAAGTACCCTGTGAACCTCATCTTGCAAAATGTAAGGCACCACTAACTCCACAACGTTTCTAGGATTCTCCTCCTCATTCATGTGGATCGCCTTGTGACCCGACAGCAGTTCCAGCAGCACGACACCGAAGCTGTAAACATCGCTCTTGGTCGTGAGCTGCTGAAGCCTGTAATACTCCGGGTCGATATACCCCAGTGTACCGGCGGCGTGTAAGGAGAGATGCGACACGTCTTCCTCTGTTGGACCCATCTGAGAGAGTCCGAAATCCGATACTTTAGCTGTCCACGTGGCGTCCAGCAGTATGTTGGACGACTTTATGTCACGGTGGATCACCGGAGGAACAGCAAACTCGTGGAGGTACTGTATCCCACGCGCGGCGTCAAGCGCGATCATCAAACGTCTCTCCCACGTCAGTGGTTCGAATCTAGGGCTATGAAGGTGATCTGCGAGAGAGCCATTTGCCATGTACTCGTAAACCAAAACCCTCTCCTCCGCGTCCTCGTAGAAACCCAAAAGTCGAACAAGGTTTCTATGGTTGAGCCGCGACATAGACTCTAGCTCGTTCACAAACGCCGAGTCCTTGTCCTCTTGTCTGTTTCGGTTCCTCGTCGTCGTTATCCCTGACGACGCAGGAATTGTGAGCTCGGCTCTTTTGATGGCCACATGACGTCCGTCCGACAAAACTGCCTTGTAAACAGAGCCGAAGCTGCCTATCCCGAGCTGGCACAGGGGAGAGAAACCGTATGTGGCTAGAGCCAGCTCTTCAATTGAAAATTCCACAAGCTGGCTATGGTTCCCTAAACTAGCTAGACTGCTTAGCCTCTTCTCCAGCTTGGGTTTGTCGATGATCATGTTATCATCGAGACGTCCTGAGTCATGGACACGGCATCGACATCGGCTTTTATAGACCAAGAAACTTATAACAAGGAGAAACGAAAACGTTCCAACGCATCCAACCACCAGAAACGCAACGTTTCTTCCGCTCCAAGTTTTGTTCTTAGAATGCTCTTGTGCGAATGGTGTATCCGTTAGTCCACTAGCTTTTACGTTCGAATCGCAAATCACCAATCCGTTGCCGCATAATGACTCTGATCCTGACAATGGACCGTAACGACATTCTTTTCTGCACGGTCCTGGAAGTACAGATCGGCCTTGGAACGGAGCTAACACACCTGATTCAAAATCCTCACTTCCCCAGCAAAACAGAGTGTAGTTTTTTGTGACTACACCGCAAAAGATTGGCCCTTTAGCGTAAATGGAACTGAAATGAATCTCCTCAAGCATCTGAGGCATATTGAAATCGTTACTGTTGTTGCTTCCCCAACACATAACTGTTCCGTTAGACCATCTTACGCCGCAGCTACGGTTATCCCCAACCGCAACCGCTGAGAACTTTTCACGTGGCGACTGCGTTTGTCCCCAACACTCCACATCATTGTCGACTGTGATCGCACAAACTCGTCTTGACCCAGACGCAATCGCGATATATCGGTCTCCGTTTAGCATATTGGTTATATTACCTTCTCCTTCACAGGTGATCCTTCCAGGTGGCTTAGATAACCCACAGAGAAAACTGTCTCCGACGGCGATGGAATCGTAATCATCCGACGGCGGCAGAGAGACCGGTTGCCAGCAACGTGTGCGTCTCGAGACTTTCTCAACTCCGCAAATGCGGGAACCACCGGCTTCTAACTCTTCCAGCTCAGGACCGTGGTAGATTCTCTTGTACGACGTGTTAGCTCCGTTAACTGAGAATCTCCAGCAGAGAAGTGTAGAAGTGTTGGAATCCAGCGGCGATCTCAACCCGCAGACAAATCCATTCCCGGAGACAAGACCGGAAAACCTACGATTCCGGAGATTATCGGTTAATGAGAACCTAATCGAGTTTAGTGGAAAACTGGAACATTGGAGATGCGATTGGTTGGTGGTGAGAGCACAAACGAGGGTTTGATTAGAGGTGCTGGAGATGGAGACAGTGGAGAGGGAGAAGCAGAGAAAAGAGAAGGAGGATAGAAGAAGGAGAGACCGGAAGTAGAAGGAGATGCTAAAGGCCATTGAAGCAGTTCTGTCTCATGGTGATGAATGTTATGTTTTAGTTCTGGTTTTTTTTTTTAAGAGGGAAGATCAACGCGGTTAGTCTGAGGAGGACCAGAGAACCAATCCAAGTCTCACGGTAAAGATTTTTCTATTTTCTCACTTATAGATTTTGATGGTCAACTAATTGAAATTTCAACACTTACTTTCAGTGGCTCTAAAAAGGTTAACTTATAGCTAAATTACCGTGATTGTTTAATTGACAAGTGTTTGATTTGGTCAAACTGAAGTGTTTATAGGTCAACAAATTACAAAATTTGCTAATTTGAATTATTCTTTTTTTTTACAAAATGTGCCAATTTGGATTTTTTTTATTTTACATTTGGACGTATCACAGTATTTGCGTTAGCTGCGAACAAGTTGCAGACTTGCAGTTACAGTCATAGGAGTCGGATGCGTACACGACTGCCATTTCGGAAACCATCAAAATCGGAAGAAATTCGCTCTCGACGACGAACCCGGAATAGCCAATTGAGCTACAACGTTCGTCGCAAATCTCCTCCGGCTCCGAGATTAATCGGTCGAAAACTATGATTACGTGTGGCCTCTTGACGTCGCCGTCTTTTTCTCCCCGCCGGCGATTCTGTAGCGTTTCTTACAGTCGCCAGTCTCTATCCTCGGCGGTCAGGTTCGGCAAAGAGCGTCTCTCACGAAGAGTCTTCTGTAGCTACGAGGATAAAGATAAGGATCGGCCTAAATCCTCCGGAATTCAGCTCTACGGCGAGATCGAGAGGTAAGCCGCTTCCGTTTATCGGCTCCGTCCTCGCTCCAGCTTTTAAGCTCACGCGAATCAATTCGATTTTCAGGTTACTAACAGAGACTGTAAAAAAATCTCAAAGTAGTTCCGGTGGATCCTCTGACTGGTCAGAAATCGAGGTTAGTCGATTCAAATCTCAATTCCTTTTATGTGTTCTTCGATTTGCATGTTTGAATTATAATTTGACGTTGGTGATTTTGAAGATCATATACAGGAGAGTTGTGTGATTCAGAATCTGAGAAATTAGTTGACTTTTTGTTGTAGGGAGCATGGGTGCTGAAACCAAGAAACTCGAAACCAAAGATGGTTGCTCATTTCATTGGAGGAATATTTGTTGGTGCAGCACCTCAGCTTACCTATCGACTGTTTCTTGAGAGATTAGCAGAGAAGTGAGTCTGGTTGTTTCATGAATCTATGAATCATGGTTGTGCTGTTTTGTGTATCATTTAATAACTCAGTCTCTCGTGTAGGGATGTTTTGGTTATCGCAACACCATATGCTAGTGGTTTTGACCACTTCAATATCGCAGATGAAGTGCAGTTTAAGTTTGACAGATGCTGTCGAGCTCTACAAGAAACAGTGAGTTTAACAAATACAAAAAGAGATATTGGTGTGAGTATATATATGAGCATAAGAATTGACTAGTAGTTCGTTTTTCTGTCAACAGGTGCAGGATCTTCCATCTTTTGGGATCGGTCATTCACTAGGATCCCTCATTCACCTTCTGATAGGTAACTAGGTTCAAATGGTTGTGAATGTATAAAGCTGATTCTGCTCATTAATTGTTTATTGAGTTGGTTCATTAGTCATTCAGGATCAAGGTATGCCGTTCAGCGAAGTGGGAATGTATTTATGGCATTCAACAACAAGGTAATTGGGTTTATCTATCTTACCAATAGAAATCAGAGTTTGCCATTAAAGATATAATTTTTGGGGTGGAAACTGATGTGAACAAAGAGAGAAACTTAGGAGGTTGAGGTTAACTATTCATAAAGCAAATATGTTGGAAATGCTTGATTCTAGAGAGTCTCCCACTGGTTGCAAACCCAATTTCTTCATGTCACCACTTAAAACACTCCGAATATCATTCAGCCCCATGGCTGTACCTCTTCCTCTTAGATGATACATTTTACTCTTCAGAAGCATTCCTCAATACATGCAAACCCTTGTGATCTATCACACCTATCATAGATTTCCTAGACTTGCTTTTCCTCTCTAAAGTAATACTTTTTTTTTATTGTGGGAAGATATTGTGAATCCCGTTATGAAGTCACAAAACCGTGTAGGTGATATGGTTCCGGAACCCTGATTTTGCAGGAAGCAAGCTTAGCTATACCTTTGTTCTCCCCAGTTCTTGTCCCGATGGCTCAAAGCCTTGGACCACTGTTATCACAGGTAGCAACATCCTCGACAGTTCGCCTTGGGGTGAGGTTCTTATTCCTTTGCTTTTTAAGATGTGCAGCTCTTCGCTAGTTTCCCAAGTGATAGTCTAATTTCTTGCTTTTGGTGATTGTGTTTGATCAATTTATTTGCTTTTGCTCTCTTCTTTTGTTTAAATTTTTGTAGTAAATGCTACTTTCGATATTTGAACATCAACTCTTAATGCTTTCTACCTAATGTATCCTCTTTGATCCTATGTCGATGATGTTCTCAAATAACTGACAACAAAAATTACATGCAGGCAGAGATGACCCGAAAGCAATTAGAAACGCTTAGCCCTCCCATCATGAAGCAAATTCTACCATTAGTGGAACAGCTCCCTCCCTTGTACATGGACTTGGTAAAAGGAAGAGAAGACTTTGTTCCAAAACCAGAAGAAACAAGACGCCTTGTAGGTGAAACCCATAATGTTACTGGATCTATGTCTCATCACGGAGCATTATCTCGTCTTGATAACAATTTATCACACTCCAACCTACTAATCTAGCTCTTCTTGCTAATAATGTGCAGATAAGATCATACTATGGAATCTCTAGGAATCTGTTGATAAAGTTTCAGGATGATTCAATCGATGAAACATCAATCCTAGCTCAGGTGCTTGGCGTGGAATCATCCATAAGCTCAAAGCTAGATATGTCTATCCGCACACTGCCAGGGGATCACGGCCTCCCTCTGCAACAGGTACTGAGTTCAGTTTAACACAAATTATTTTACAGTAAAGATCTGCGCCATCACCATTAAGATATAACTCCAAGAACACGAACAATATAGAAACTTTCTTTTTGCTCCCTCAGTGAGATCATAACGTTGAAAGCGATTTGTTTTGACAGGCTATTCCGGATGTTCCACCAGCAATGGCAGAAGCGGTGAATCGAGGAAGTGAGTTTTTGGCGAACATTGCAGTTGGGACGCCATGGGAAGCTATGGCTAAAGAGGTTGGAGGTACGCTGGGGGGAATGGACTCGAAGATCCTTCGTCCTGACATGTCCAAAGACCTTGCCGTGCTCATCGATGCAATCACTTCTTGGATGGCTTCAAATATGGGTCCAAAACTTTTGAGACCATAATGTTTACTCATGTAGAAGCAACATTAAAAGATAATCTAGTAACACAGGATTGTGCATTATACATAAAAGATAATCACTTGCTTATATTATTTAAACTTTGTTTGTGCCCATCATTACATATTTTAGATCACAAAAAAGTAAGCACACTTGAAATTATTGGCCTAGGATGATTCGTGATACAGATACAAGCCGAGACCAAATCTAGCACATGCTCTGCAGAATGCTATTTCCTCAGCTGCAGTAACTGGATCTTCAATGTGATCATCAGTCGTCGTTATTGTCCCAGTAGATTCACGATGTGCCTGCAACACATGAAAGAGTGTTAAGAATCTTCTGATTAGTGAATAAGTGTTTCGCTTCCACCGCAGCATAAAATCCAAACAGAGAGATGAGATGAGGAAAGAAAGAACAAATTTTTAATAATTTCTACAAAGGAAGAGGAGCTAGATATTTTCTAAAGCTTAATCATCTAGAAAGAGGCGAAGCAAGGTTTGATTTTGGACAAAAGAAGACAAAAAAAAAACATCAATACATGAGCTATCGATATTTTCCTCTAGAAAGAGACCATAAGCGAGAAACAAGGAGTGAAAACTCAAGGTTTGATTGCACAGAATTGGACAAACAATCACACCTAAAAATTACCAAAAATTGTAAACTATCACTAAAAAAAAGAGAGGGAGATCTCAGAGTAGCTTACCTCACCATCAGAGCCACGAATGGTAAGACGATAAACAACCGTGACATTACCATTCTCAGAGAAAATGACATCGCGAACTTCCCCACACCAGCCTGTAGAGAAAATAATTATAAAATTAACCTCTGCATAGAAGAAGAAGATGATCATTTTCAATAAACGCAATCTTAAGTACGAACCAGGTGCATAGAAGCTGAGCATCCGATTTGCATGGAACCTAAGAATATACATCGAAAGAGATCAGATCGAAACCAAACGAAACGTAACCGACAATTATGTTAAAAAGGGAAACAAAAAAGAGTACCAAGGGATAAAGCCAGAAGAAGCGGCATTGGAACCAGGCTCGTGGCTCTTAACGATGTTATCAGGGATCTTCTTGTTAAGATCGCGAAGTATCTCAATCAGAGGCCGAGTGATCGACGAAGAAGACGAGAACTTGTCCATAGGCACTACATAGTTCGAATTAGGAACCGCTTTCTTCTTCCCGGCGTCTCCTCCGATTCCAACTCCACCGCCGCTGCATCTGACTCCTCTCCACGCCGTTAACATTTCCCGGCGAACAGCGACTGTTCCGAGAGGGGAGAATCGTCCGGTGCGCGTAGATGGCGCGGAGTTTACGAAAGCCGCCGTCGTCGAGGTCTGCATTTGCAAAGCCATTTTCTTTCTTGAGCAGATCGGAGAGGAACAACAAACTCTGACTTGGGGAAGAGGAAAACAGGAAGAGAGTGGACGCAGATTTGTCTGATACTTGACATGCCTTCTTGTAGTAGGTGGGGATAGGTGGTAAGCTCATACCAACCCCCTTTTTTGGTCTTTTAAATTGATTGATTCACTATTTTTAATTTATTTATCCAAGTTTAGTTCAACTATATGACGCATCCTCTGTTTGAGTTATTTGCTTATGTATCGAAATATCTGTAAATTTGTAATCGTAGTCAGTGGACTTTAGTAACAGTTTTTAGCCATTCCGATTTGTTGTGTAGTGTGTTGTTTTTTTCTCATTTCAGATTGGGAAGAAAGTTTGCAAATCCAGTCAAGAAGTCGTATCAGTATCACAGTTTTGATAGTTTTAATCCAGTCCCCAATTCTCTACTGAAAATATTCGACTTTTGAAGATAAAATTGTTGAAACTCGCTGACTCAATCTGTTTTGACTTTTGAACAATTGTAAAAGCTTTAATGAAAAGTGAAAACAAAGGCATAGAGAGAAAGACTAAAACCCAAATTGTCGCAATATTATTTTCATAAGAAAAATAAAACATCATCCATGCAATGGAGAGAAATACTAAAAACCAAATCACTAAGCGTTTCCTCTCACACAGAGAGTATCTTTATTGAAACAAGAAAAGCAAAAATCCAAAAGAAAAATCCATAGATGTCGCAGACACCACAAGGCTAACAAAGGTAGATAGATAATAGCAAAGACTTCATCATTGATTCTTCACTTGTTTCTTCATTCTTCACACCTGTTTAAGTAAAACATTTCATTAGATTAAGCTAAAAATTCCCAAAAAAAAACAAAACAAACAAGTGTTTTAAGAGCTTCATTACCTTTAGAAAAGATGCTTCTTCACTAAGTTTCGATCGATCTACTGCGTGACCCCGATAGCCCGCGCAGGCTGGTTCAAGCTCGGTAGCGAGCCGTCTTCCTGAACCAGCGATGGTGAGGATTTGATTGATTGCTATTCAGAATCATCATCATAAACTTCAACATCCTCATCAAAGGCAGTCATGTCAAGCTGGTAACGAAGTATCCCTCCAATTCCTCCAAACCCTCTGCAAAACTGAGACCCTTCTTGAGACTTGTTGGTCACAAACTCCAACGCACAGCCGAAACGCCTGTACTCGTTAGCCAGCCACTCGAGCAAAGACATCTTCTCCTCCACATCAAGATCGCTGTTCTCTGCTTTGAAATTCTCAGTGTTGGCTTCCTGTTCCTTGTTCAGGTGCTTGATCACAATCTCACCCGTCGTAGCGTTCTTCAACACATACCTGTTGATATCAAGATTCTCCCACACGATCAGCGTCTCCACAGCACCAGAATCCAGAGCGTTCAGTGTATCCTCCACGCCAAACACGTACTTCCCAGTGTCCTGGCTTATCTCCTCAAAGTACTTCCCAATCAAACGCTTCTCTTGAATGAACTTCACATTCGCAAGGATCTCAGAGGAAAGCTCAATAGCCTGATTGAAACCGTTCTCTCCTCCGTACGATACATCCACCACGTTTAGTATCTTGGCTCCAAGACGGGGATCAAACATATCCGACTGGCTCAACTCAGTCTTGAAATCTGCCGAACCAGCAAGAATCAATCCAGAGACATTAGGCTGACTCGTTGAAGGGTTGATGTAGTACTGCGTGGCCAGCTCAGCAGTCTTCCTCACGTAATTGTGACGCTTCTCCATACGGAGACGAGCAAAACGAAGAGCAGACTGTCCTCCTCTTCCGTGCTTCTTAGGAAGATCAACAGAGAACTTGTGAAGCACCTCACGGGTGTTACCGCTCAAGGTTCCAAAGAGAGTCCCGTTACCGTCCATCACAATGAAGCCAAACTTGTCATCAGACTCCAGCAACTCATTCAGAGCCTCGGTGTGGAACTTGTTGTCGCAGAGGTAGAGAGTGTTGTTGATCGGTTTGAAAGGCTCGAAGTCGATGGTAACCTTCTTCTCCTTGCCATCGTCGTTGACAATGGTTCCAGTGTAGAGCACGAGACCGTTGGGAGGGACCTTGTTGTAAAGCTTGAGCCTTTGCTGTGCAGAAGTGATGGCACCCAAAACAGATTGGCGATTGACTCTGCTCTTGATGTTTGATGCGGTTCCATACTCATCACCCAACATCTTGGTAACACGAGAGACCTGATCACGAGGAGGCATGATGAGTGAGATCATGCTGGTTCCGTTTCCTCTAGCTGCTTCAAGGGATTTGATCAGCTTCTTGATCTTCCACATCTCAATGTTCTTGTCATCGTCATGATTGTCTCCCATTTTAACCTGCAACAAACACAGAAGCAAAGCTAGTTAATACCCCAAAACATGTACAAATTAGTAAAAAGAAGCTCAATCAACCATAACAAAGCTATATAAAGGTCGAATTCTACACAGAAAAATCTTGATACTCTAGTAAATTGCAAGAGAAATTGGTTTGCATGAATTTTTTTAATGAATATCTTCATAGGCAATAAAAAAGAGAAAAGATCAACGCAGTAATGGATCTAGAGCACTCAACACAATCTCTTGAAGTTTATGATACTGAAACCGATCTAATCGTGGGGAAAACATAATTGAACAGGAGAGAAAGAGACGATTCACGATGATACAAACCCTAAATAAGAAAACTAAATCACAGATGATACGTTTGCCAAAAAAACTATTCATATGAATTATATTCAGCTCAGCTCGTGAAATCTAATTGTAACGATGACAAAAATTGGAAATCCGATAGACAATCAGCTCAAACAAATCCAAAATTCCAGAAAAAAAAGCAACGATGAACACATATAAATAATTAGGTCATACGATGAATCGATCTACCAACCGTATCAGATAAACAATCAGGAAAGGATAAGAACAGCAATATAAAAGCCAAATTACTAAAGAATATGAAGATCGGAAAGCACCTGAAGAAGAGGAAACGCGAAGAGGAACACCGCCCAAGAGAGATTGAACTTTGTGTAAAAAAACGCAAATTGATCTTTATGTGGCAGAGAGAAAGAATATATAATGTTTTAACCTAAGTCAGGCTCAACCTAACTTCTCCGACCTATCTTAATGGGCCTAAACCCAATTTCCCCGTTTTTCTAAGTCAAAATTTTGCAAAACATCAATAAGGAAAGCAAATTAACATAAATTAAAATAAATAAAAAAGTCATAAACTAATTTATTAAAAAAAATATAGAAAAGTCCTTCAAAATCATGAATTAATGAATATGATAATAATATATCTTTCAAATCAAAACAATTTTATTCCAAAATATTAACTTCAATTAAACTAAATAGTCAATTACATTAAGTCTTTAACCAAGACATATTAACATACATGTGTTTAAAACCTATCTAAGTAAAAGAAATCAACTATTTTTGATGATTAATATTTAAGTTAAGAGTGAATTTGGTAATGAATATCAAATTAAGTGAATGGCAAATGACATGTTTCGTCTTTAACAAATGATAAAAGAGCATATAATATCATGGGTCTCTTGTTACTTCTAAAACATGGGGTGAATGCGCGTAGGCAAAGAAGTAACACAAATAAGATGATTTAAATAAATGCAACTAAATACAATTTCCTTTTGAGATATTAGACAGAAGTTGAATAAATTTGAGAATCTCTGTTAATTATTCACATTCACATTCACATTTTTTTTTTTTAGTATTATCGAAAACTATTCGTTGACTTTTTTGTTAATGTACTCGAATTTGTATCCTTCTTTATGTTCATGACTTCATGCAATGACTTAATTACCTGAACTAAAACTACATTTCGGACAGTCACAATAAATGTTCATGTAATAACTTTAAGACTTTAATTACCCTATTACTCCGTACTCCGTATACAACCTGTATCTGCTATTATCCGACCATAGCATGCTTGGCTTTTGAGGAACATAAATCGACTAAATTTGGGCCTAAGCCCAATAACATTAATAGATCCATTTTCACCTGAATCACCCAATTGGCTAAGCTCTCCGTAGCTCAGGTACCGTCTCGTCTCTATTTTGTGTTGCGGAATCTGTGAAGTGTAGACGACGAACAAGAACGATGGCATGGAGGGGAAACATATCCAAGTCGCTGAAAGAGCTCAGGATCCTTCTCTGTCAATCTTCTCAATCTAGCTCTTCCGCCAGGTTTCTTCAGCTTCCCATTCATTTTCTAATTGATCAAATCAGATATGTGAGATCGGCGATTCGAATAGATCGTCTCCTATTCAATTTCCGCTGTTTTATGATTTCATTTGGGGGATTTGTTTTTTTTTTTTTTCGTTTCAGAACTTTCGTAGAGACGAATTACAAGGATTTGAAGTCTCTAAACCCCAAATTCCCATTCCTGATTCGCGAATGTAGTGGGATCCAGCCTCAGATGTGGGCAAGATATGGTAATTGCTTTAATCTCTCATCTTTTTTGTATCTCGTTAATCGAGTTTGAATATACCTTTCGCACCTATATATTCGAACCATTTGTGGTTTTGCTGCAACGCAAGGAAAAGTTTGACTTAAAATGTTCAATGTTAAGAGTTTTTGAAATCATTGTGCTGAATCTGCTGATTGGAATTATATGCCTTTATTGGGTTACATGTTCGTTGTTAAAGTTAATGTGAGCCGTATGTTTTTTCAACGATGTGACATGAATGTGCTCATTGGTAGTTGCATTGTGGATTCTTATTAAGTTTCTTCATTCAAAGTGTTTAAAACTTTTTGAGTTAACCATTCCACATAACCATTTCTTATCAGCATACTCACACGCAGAGCCGTGGCCATCGATGAAGTTATATTGTGGGTAACCACTATTTGCATATTAGTTCTTGCTTTTATGATGAGAGTTGTGTTCCCTGTTTCCTTGTTGTGTTTGATTTTGAATGCCAAAATGTTATGGTTTATGCATGGGGAAATCAAGATGATACTTTCCTTTGGCCAGTATAGTTATGCATATGAGTTTAAAAAATTCGTCCAGTTATTCTACTTGGATACTAGTATCCATAAATGTTTTTGTTTATGTATGTGTTAATTTGTGATTGGCTTGTGACACACTTGCTTAATTGTACAGATATGGGTGTGGAGAGGTGTGTAAACTTGAACGGTATGAACGAGTCACAGATTCTGAAAGCCCTTGAAGATCTTGTGAAAGCTGGAGGAGCTACCAAAGCCTGAGATTGTCTGTATGTTACTTCTTTTTTGTTATTCAAGATGATCCCGAATAAGCTTTAACCGGAAACACTCATTTGACATTTCCTGTCATCATGCTATTACTTTGCATCTCTGTGGTGTGGTCTCATATCGCCTTGCGTTTGAGGTTTTTCTTTTTCTGTCTGTAATCCTTAAACTTGGAATAAATCGAACCCTCAATCCATATAACTGAACTCGTAGGAAGGAGGAAACATACGATTGAATAGTTTTTGCTGTTGTTATGAATCCACCAGTAATTCGTTCGTGTAACTTATTAATCGATTCAATGAAATATGTATATAAAAAAAAAAAAGAGGTGTATACCTTTATTATCAAATTCAACTACCTGAGATGTACACAATTTTTGAATGCAAATAATGTTTTAGCAGTTGGATTCGAACACCATGTGAGCCTTCTTCTCTCTCTGCCATGCCCGTTATTACTCTATTTACTTGTTTGGCCACGTACTCAGTTTATAGGATCTTTTTCCAAAAGGCGAAATCAAATCGAGATCACGCGTGGGCTTGCATTTACGTACACGGCCCATAAATAGAGAGTCTTTTGAGAGCGAATCAAGTCCGAGAAACTGACGGCAACAAACCTGAAAAGACAAGAGAAGGTCCAATCCCAGCAAAGGCACGTGCGAATTCCAAAGTGAAAAAGGAGTGTGATTACAAAAACAAACGTCTCAAGTGGCTCCCTTTACAACTGTTGTCGTTAAAGATAGATTTGGGTGGTTATACGAATATTTTTTTATCCATATCCAAACCAATACGGATTATACATATATAGACACAAGTTGATGAAGAAGATAGATTTGGATTTTTGATGCGAACGAAATTGGCAATGTACGAACCAATCAAAGGGACCGATGATCATCAATGGCACGACAAGAAAGACATCGAGTCCGCTCTCCAGATTTCTCGTCCTTCTCTCCCTCCCGACAAGGAGAGATTAGTCTCTCTCGACGTCTTCCGCGGCTTAACCGTCGCCGTGAGTTAATAATCTCTCTACTCTGTTTTAATCGCTTACCCTTTACGTAGTTTCAGTTTCGGATTAGATAAACACTGCAATCATTTAGTCCTAGACCACTTTGGTCTTTGGGTGGGCTTGTCGGAAACTTTTAAGTATCTAAAGGAGTACATAATTAGACGAAGAAGATAATATTGTGTTTGGAGTTGAATGTTGTTTTTCTTACGAATGGTAACAGTTGATGATACTTGTGGATGATGTTGGAGGGATATTTCCAGCTATTAATCATTCACCTTGGGATGGCGTTACGATTGCTGATTTTGTAATGCCCTTTTTCCTATTTATCGTTGGTGTCTCTCTTGCCTTTGCTTATAAGGTATGGTAATTGGTAGTGACCAATCTTGTCTTTGATCATCTTCTACTTCTGCTCTGTGACTGACTTCTATGTGTCAACCTCTTTTTGTTTACAGAACTTGTCATGCAGGTTTACTGCAACAAGAAAAGCTTTGTTTCGATCCCTAAAACTCCTCTTACTTGGTCTTTTTCTCCAAGGTTTGGTTCTAACTTCTAACTTATAACTATGTGTTCAAGTCAAAGGTGTTGTTGAGATGATACACATATAATTTGGCTTTTTTTTTATACTTTTTCAGGAGGATTTATTCATGGTCTCAACAACCTAACATATGGAGTAGATGTAGATAAAATTAGATTAATGGGGATACTACAGGTAGTTTCTTTTTTTCTTCTTTCACCTTCCCAAACCTCTAAAGATTGAGGAACATTATGAGTTCCAACATGGCCATTTAAATTAGTAAAAAAAATTCTGCCAGAGAATAGCAATAGCATACTTAGTAGCTGCACTGTGCGAGATTTGGTTAAAAGGAAACCATAATGTCAGCTCAGAGCTATCTATGATCAAGAAATACAGATTTCACTGGTAAGTGTCTTTTCTTCTTAATTTCTCAACTCAAATCTTGCATTTGTATACTTTCTTGATTGATTTCATCCGGTTATTTGACAGGGTGGTGGCATTTGTTATTACAACAATATATTTGTACTTGCTATACGGCTTATATGTACCTAACTGGGAATATCAGATTTCAACAGAAGACCAAGGATCCACATTCTTGGTTAGATAGTGTTCTTTTTCTTTCTTTCTTTCTTTCTACATATACCTTCTTTAGATATTATGTATCGATGATGATCTCGAAACTGTTTAGAATCTGAAGGTGAAATGTGGAGTACGAGGAGACACTGGGCCAGGCTGCAATGCAGTTGGGATGATTGACCGTAAGTTACTAGGCATCCAGCATTTGTACAGGAAACCTGTTTATGCACGAACCAAGGTTCTAGATTTACTCCATGTCTCTGTTTTAATTTCTTAATATTTGTTCTATGGTTCATTTTCATTTGATCTCTTATATCTTCTTTTCAGCAATGCAGTATAAACTATCCAAACAATGGGCCATTGCCTCCAGATGCTCCCTCTTGGTGTCAAGCGCCTTTTGATCCCGAAGGCCTCCTAAGGTCTCTACTTTTACTCTGCTCGAAATGATTTTATAGCGATATGTGTTTGATCATTGCTCACAAAGTAACTGACATGTTTTTTTAATTGTATAGTTCGTTAATGGCCACTGTTACATGTCTAGTAGGTTTGCACTACGGCCATATTATCATCCACTTCAAGGTAAGTATACTCTCTGGTTTTGGTGACCTAGAGTAAGAAAACAGTAATTTAACAGAAACTTACCATTGTTGCTCTGTTATTGACTTCTTACAGGACCACAAAAAGCGTCTGAATCAATGGATCTTACGCTCTTTTTGTCTTCTGATGCTAGGTCTTGCACTGGACCTCTTTGGTATTGTTCTTGACCCTTGTAACTCCTAAAAAGTACAAATCACATGTCATATTTTTTAGGTAGAATCACAATTTTGCATATGACAAACAGTGCATATAATGTTACTTTTTCTTTTATCGGTTGCTTGCAGGAATGCATCTAAATAAACCTCTATACACATTGAGTTACATGTGTGTCACCGCAGGAGCTTCTGGATTTCTTTTATCCGCGATATACCTGATGGTTTGTTTGCTATTATTTTGAATCAGTTATGACATATACTGCGAGAGTAGAAGCATAACCAAATGTAAATCTCTCTGTTTCTCTATCTCCTCCACAGGTTGACGTCTATGGATATAAACGAGCAAGTCTTGTATTCGAGTGGATGGGGATACACGCCTTAACGATCTATGTTCTCATTGCCTGCAATCTTGTCTTTCTAATCATTCATGGATTCTATTGGAAGAAACCCATTAACAATCTCGTAAGCTTTGCTTTACTTCAATTCTTGTTTGTTTTACGTTTATCATTGTGTAAGTTTTGTGTTGGAATTCAAAATGTTAATTTTGGTTTGTTTTGTAGCTTCATTTAATTGGAATCGGAAAATAAACAAGAAAAGGGAGGTGAACAAGCGTAGTGCCATTACTTTTATCTAATTCTTTAAGATGCCATTTCATCTATACATCAATCAAAAACTTAGTGTTTGTGTAAGAAAGAAGCAAAAGCCATCTTCATATTCCACTGTTTCTCACATTTATTCACCACTAGAATCCAACCTATTTTACTTTTGTAAATTGAATCTCACCGTATTTTACATTCTTCTCTTATATCTTTATAATCTTTTCAACCACGTCCATTCTGCTAACTGTTGATATAAGACTCCGATGTCTGCATCGATCATAGATGCATTCTTGTGACAGCATGAGTGGATGTTGTAATAGAAATCAGTAGAATTGTCTTTTTCTTTTTGTAGTGATTTGCGTTTAAGTATGCTTCTTGTTTAGTGTTCTTTGATCTGGTTCATACACACATGTGTAAATAAAATATACATGTCATTGTGAAACCGTAGGGGTGAAACTGTTTGGCGCGCTTTTTGGCTAACCTTTTCGTGTATGAAGAACAGAGACGACACGTGAGGAGAAAATTAAGTCGAGAGAGTAAGGCTTGATCTTAGGTCAAAGAGAAGATCGAAAGAAAATATATATTTCAACTAGAACGAAATCAAGAGAGGCAATTGTTTCTTGCAGTGGTAGAATTCTGAATCTTGTTCTTACAAACAATTTAATACTAGCCGACCGAATACAGCGAAAAACGTGGATGATGATCTAATTAGGATTCGCACCCAAAAAAAAAGATGATACCGAATACAGTAACTATTGATATTACAGTACTACTAGCTTAGTTAAAACAATTATTATGAAGATAAAATAAAATTTAATAAAACATTTTTTTTTTTAGCAATTTTTCAGTAATGTGTCTGTCAATCACATATCTCCATACGTTGTTAGCTAAATTATAAATTATTGAAACAATTTTAATTAGTTTTAGCTAAAACTAAAAAGCACGTAACAGTAGTATTTAAACGAAAATTTTACTTGTCTCATTACTTATTTTTTTGTACTACCACATAAAAGTGCCATTTTACTTATACCATTGTTTTGACATGTATACTATCACTTTTTGTTGTGATACTCTTTTTTTTTTTTGTAATGTGTACTTTTGTAATATCACAAATCAATACCCTTATGATTGATTACACATTGCATTACATTTTGCAATTACATTATTTTGCAGTACCCCACCGGAAGAAACCTATTAACAACCTCGTAAGCTTTACTTAGTTTTTTTGTTTTTTTTTTTCGTTTATCATTCTTAAAGTTGTGTGTTGGAATTCAAAATCTCTTTTTTTTTTTTTTTTTTTTTTTTTTGCAGCTTCATTTCATTGGAATCGGAAAGTAAAGAAGAGAAAGAAGATGAAAAAGAAAGCATAGTACCATTACTTTTATCTAAAATTATTTGAGATGATACTTCATCTTTACATCAACCAAAACAAAACATCTAAAATTCAACGTCTAAATCCAATAACACCTTTGTGTTTTAATTGTACAAAAACAAAAACAAAAGCTAAAGCCATTTCTCACATTCGCTCAAATCCAATATATTGTATCCTATTTT